CTTGGATGGGCGCTGGCGTTTGGAGACTGCCCAAATAACACAATCGGGTTGTTCGTAGGATACTCACAGTTCTTCTTGGCCAATTTCTCAAATTATCCAAAGTGAGAATCCATGTTTAGGAATTCAAGAGATCAGCCAGATGTTTAAATTCCTAGGGAAACGCAATGTTCTCGAACGAATCTGATGTTTTGAATGTTTTCATGTAGTCATAAGAAATCAAAAGTGCAGAGAACCGAAACAATATAGTGACAAACTCAAACTGATACGAAAGCGCGTTATCATAATAAGCCTCTTTGGATTTTTCCTCGGCGATTTCCTCGGCGGCATTATCTTAATTTGAGACGATTAGTACATTCTCTCACTTGGTCTCAAAAACCCAAAGACTTCTGCAGATGAGCAACAATAGATAAAAGAAAGGATAACTATAGCGAGATTATCTCTATTTTTGTGTTTTTCCAGATTCTTCTTCCAATACGTGTTCGCCGCGACGTCAGCAACAATTGTGTCGGGAGCGGTTGCTGAGCGATGCGAATTCGCGAATTACATCACATATTGTTCGGTTATCTCAAGTTAGACCTAAACAAAACGTAGACATCAACGTATAGTTGATATTTTAGCTCTTGTCTACCCAATTCTTACCCATTGGGGATGGCATCCAAAGGGATGGATGGCTCTTGGAATCACAAGCGGAGTTGTAAACACTCATTATGACGTTAGTAAATGTGACAGTTAGCAACAAGGAAGTTTTCGTTAATTTCTTTCAGGACTTTGCCGGTTCTGGAGTTGTCCATCTTTGCGGTGGATCCATCTCGTTCTTGGCCGCATACATCATCGGTCCCAGAATTGGAAGATTCCCAGAAGACGAGGATGACGAGTCTGATGAGATTCTTGGTCACTCGGTTCCGGTGAGTAGCGATATCAAAAATTGATCAATGCGGGAGCAACGGTTAATGAATTTATTATCAGTTCAAGAAAATAGAAAATAGAAAATACTGAATCGGTGATAACAATTTTTCTAAAAATGCCCCGTTTTCATAATCGTTTGATTTTTTTGATTGTTTGATTTTGATGAGAAAACATGGAAAAATGGAGAGTCGGCATTATAATATTAAGAACATTTAAAAACGGTCTAATTGACAGTTTTTGCACTCTAAAGGAGATCAAATGTGACTTTTATAGTTCGCCGCTTTGGGAGGATTCATTTTGATGTTTGGTTTCCTTGCTTTCAACGGAGGATCCATGGCTGACATCGTAAAACCTGGAGAGGGACATATTGTTGCATTGGCAATGGTTAATACAATTCTGAGTGGGGCGTTCGCTGCGTTGACCTACCTTATTGCTCACTACTTGTACCATGGAAAATGGACCCTCCTTCTTACCATTAACGCCTGTCTCGCTGGAATGGTTTCTTCGTGTGCCGGATGTAATAAAATGGAGCCATGGGCATGTATCTTTGTTGGAGTTGGAGCTGGACTTATTTATTTAACTCTTAGCAAGGTTATGATTAGGTAATAGTGCCAAAAAAGGAAGAAAAACACTTTTCAAATACAATTTTCAGATGGAGAATCGACGATCCACTTGACGCCTTTGCTGTTCATGCTGGTGGCGGTTTCTGGGGACTCACCTCTGTTGCTATAATTGGACATGATGGAGTTGTCTACGCTATTGGAAATACTATTGGTGGTGCTACAGATGGTGGTGATCAAATTGCTCAAGCTTTTGCAGTACGATTTTTGTACGGATTCTCAGAATAAGATTTCGATTTTTCAGCAACTTGGTTGGCAATGGGTCTGCGCGTTGGCAATTGTGACATGGTCGATTCTTTGGATGTGGCCGATTTTCGGACTTTTGAAGAAGATTGGCAAACTCCGCGTGTCTGAGGAGGTTGAGATTAATGGATTGGACATTTATAAACACGGAGAATCAGCCTACCCACTTCATGCTTATGGTCATGGATGGCATGATTTTGAATCGGCACCAGATACCAAAGTAAACCATAGCAAACACCTTCCAGTGGGAAGAAAGAATCGAATCATGAGTGTTCATCCAGAAAGTACGTTGAAACTTGAATATTCATAAAACTTCAATCCATCCCCCATTTTCAGTGTCATTGGAACAGCTCGCTTCGGTATATGATAGAAGTGGAAGTGTTGGAGAAACCGATCAACCCAAAAGGCTCTTCATGAACCAAATGGAAAGAAGAAAGTCGAGAATGATAGAAGCAAATGCTTTGAGTGCACTGTATCTTGATGATAATGAAGTCCCAGAGAGAAAGAATACGAACTCAAAAACAGTTAATCTACAAGTACCTACCACTATTGTTGAAGCACCAGAGACTGAAATTTTGACTACCGAAGAAGAGAAGAAAGAATCCAACTGGATGTAATACCTGCATAATATAGAGTCGATTTTATCTTTGGTAATCTATAATTCGGTTTTTGATGAAAATTCTTCTATTTGTAATTATTTCGGATTCTTGTCCCCCTTGTATATTCTACTCATATGAAAGTTTATCTTGATTCATACTGAACAATGATTTCTTATTAAACTAAAGGTCACTCTTTATCTCTTGATAGATGTGTCAATCACAAAGAACGCAGACACAGCTAGAAAGTAACTTTTTGTAGTCATCTTCGACGTCTTCTTCACAACTTCTTAACTCTTTTTTCTCGGTATGCGACAACAAAAGGATAGATTGATAATCGTCTTGTTTGTGTTGCCTCAAAAGAATTTTTGACAGTAGAAGATATCATTTCACCTCATGACTTCTCGACCGTTTTGGTTCCGAGAAAAAAGATAGAAATTTTGACAAGATGAATTGCTTTTTTGATTGGTTCAAATTCGAACAAAGGTTAGAAAGGGATGTAAAGTACCGTTTTAAGTTATTCGATTGGTGTTGGGTTTAGATAGTTATCATCACATGAAAATTGAACGATAAGAACAAAAACAAGGAGTATTGAATGGGTATCGAAATGGAAGTAGAAGGATTAAAAAATAAGTGAAAAAGAGAAATTTTCTGTAAATTTTGAAGGTTCACAGATCAGCAGTATTTCAATGAAACTGAGCACTTTGGGGTTGTTCTCAAAGTTAAACGTTTCGGAAAAGTTGTTTGAAGCATTAGAAGAACGTATTGTGGAAGAGCATTGATCAAAAAATAAAATCACGTTTGTGTCAAAATATTTTTCTACCAACATATCAGCATGAAACATATTTAAGACGATTTAGTACACATTTTTTATTTCCGCATTCTAAGCTGATCTGATAGAATAAAGCCAACAGAAACTCACAGACTTTTTAAATCAAATCCAACTTTTCGAAAATTCAGTTATTCAAGAATTTGATAGTTTTGAAAATTTTCTGGTTTCCTCCAACAATACACAATATTCTCCTCCAGAAATCTTTGAAATGGTCAGTTTTTTTTGGAATTTTCCGAAATATGGAAAATTCTGATTTTCAAAAATTTGGAATTTCGAGGTTTCCGAAAATTTTGTATTTGAAAACACTGGAATTTTGAAATCTTCGGAAAATTCCGATTTTTGAAAATTTGAAGCTTCGGGATCTTCGGTCCGCTCATCAAAATGTCGAAGATTCCTATCTCAAAGGCGCAATAAATTGGTGCAAAATGGACTAACAGATTTCAAAAGTGCGCAGAACATTATTAAAAATAGAAAATATTTAATTTAGCTCGAGACCAAAGAAATTGTTACCGCGTGCCCTTTGACATACAGCAGTCCAAAAAGCTATAACTCGTGAAAAATTTGAATATTCCGATCGAAATATTCGAAATTTTAGAAATTGCGTTCTCAACTCCCCGTTCCAAACTCCCCTCCATGGAAATAAAACGATCGGTTTGCTGTTCGAGAACCTGTGGAATTTTAGTTGTAATTCAAATGAATACAAAAACACGCAGAAATGATTTCAAAGCGGGCGTGTACAGTTCTACTCTTCTTTCATAGGGCTCACGGTTATTTTACTCTCAGGATCTCTAACTATAATAAGATAGACAGTCCATTCTAGACTTCCATGAAAAATTTTCGTCCCAGACCGTGATTTTCCAACAAACACCATGAGTCATTAGAGGTTTAGGACAAAATGTTTTCACATCTATCCCGAGACTACTAAAATCTATTTCAAAAAAGGTTAGACTCGTTTTTTTATTTCCAAAGTAATGGGTAAATATTTTTGCAGAGTCAAAAACCATTTAGATCTAATAGTGACAAATTTGACAACATTTTGTCGTAACTGTTTGTGTCTGTTTCAAAAACTTGTCAATAGCAACACAATACGAAAATGTTGACCTTTGAAAAAAAATTTTCAAGATTTTCTTGAGGAAAATATTATTCGATCGTTGAAATTCGAATATGTTTCAAACATCATATCTCCGTTGTCTCTTCACACATTTTTCATTCAAATAAACCGGAAGGTCAAACAGTTCGAAATGTAGTCTTTGCGAAACGTCCTTCAGGTATCGTTCCAAAGTGTTTTCACAGATTTAGTGGCATGTATGATCTTGTATGCTGGCATATAATAGCAACCGACGACTATTTGTGAATGCGATTATATAAAAAAGAAAACAAAGTCGTTACTTCAGCTGAATTTTACGCAAACACCCTTACATCACCTTAAAAATGTATATAAGTCACCATATGCTGTGGAAAAATCAGTCGGGATCAAAATTTGACTAGATCCTATTCTATATATATATGAACCTGTCCTTTCACAGTGCATTCTTTTGCCCATCCATCTCTGTCGTACTTTGTGAATTGAACCGAAAAGTGACCGTGAACATCAGTGATCAAAAAGTTGTGATAACTTCTTTCTCTTCTTGACCGAAAAAAAAGTAAAGTGTAATAAAAAACCGAGAACCAGTAAGTAGCTATCATCATCATTTGACCGGCGCGAGAGAGATAAGATTACTGTATAGACAGTCCGCCCACAACTTTTTGATTCCATTGCACCCCTCGAAATAATTTCATTCGACTTTTCCAACTAAACGAAAGATGGCGGCGCCTGTGAATTTGTCGGCAGAAATTGCTAATCTTCATGCTGAAATTACGAGACTCGAGACGGGGTTCTATGAGAATGTCAACTCGTTCTTTCTCTGCTCCATGGCTCTGATCATCTTTTGTAAGTTTCAGGCATTCGTTAACGATTCAGTGTTCTCTTTTCAGTCATGCAATGCGGTTTTGCATATCTTGAAGCAGGAGCCGTCCGTAGTAAGAACACCACCAACATTCTTATAAAAAATCTTCTTGACTCTTGTATTTGCATCATCGGGTATTGGGCAATCGGATGGGCATTAGCGTATGGTGATTCTGGAGAAGGTGTGAACCTTTTCGTTGGTCACTCCCAGTTCTTTCTTTCTGGATTCTCTGACTATCCCCGATTTTTCTTCCAATACGTATTCTCTGCCACTGCGGCTACTATTGTGTCTGGCGCCGTCGCCGAACGATGCGAATTTATCACCTATGTGACGTACTGTACAGTTATTTCAAGTTGGTTGTTTTTTTCATAACTTTTAGTCTCGGGAAAGTTATTAATTGCAAAATTACAGCATTCATATACCCGATTCTTACCCATTGGGGATGGGCGGAGAGTGGATGGATGGCAAGAGGTATCACCAGTGGAATTATTGACACGAAATATGACGTAATTTGTTGACTCCACAATTACCGTAATCTCATCATTAAAGTTTATAGGATTTCGCCGGGTCTGGAGTCGTCCATCTCTGCGGGGGGTCCATTTCTTTTCTGGCCGCATGGTTTATGGGACCTAGAATCGGAAAGTTCCCTGAAAACGAGGATGACGAATCGGACGAAATTCTTGGTCACTCTGTTCCAGTACGTGTTTTAATATGTCTACAGTTACCTTTGATACCTGTCATGTTAACAACGATGGTTTTTACAGTTCACCGCTTTGGGAGGATTCATTCTGATGTTCGGTTTCTTGGCATTCAACGGAGGATCTGTTGCTAGTATTTCTCACGCCGGAGACGGACATACTGTAGCACTTGCCATGGTCAACACAATTCTCAGTGGTGCATTCGCGGCTCTCATCTACCTCGGTGTTCACTATTATAATCATGGAAAATGGACCCTTCTTTTGACAATCAACGCATGCTTGAGCGGTATGGTAGCCGCATGTGCTGGATGTAACAAAATGGAGCCATGGGCATGTATCTGGGTTGGAGTTGGAGCTGGATTGATTTACTTGGCTCTCAGTAAAATGATGATCAGGTAGGTATATCAAAACACAGAATAAAAGGAGCGGACCCAAACAAAACAAACAAAACACACTTTTCAGACTGAAGATTGATGACCCACTGGATGCCTTCGCCGTTCACGCTGGTGGTGGTTTCTGGGGACTCATGTCATCTTCAATCATCTCTCACGGAGGTGTCGTTTATGCTCTTGCTGATGCTGTGTCTGGAGCGGAGAATTCGGGAGATCACCTCTCTCAAGCTTTTGCTGTAAGAAATCGAAAACATTGATTGGTTTGATATTAATTTTTTTCAGCAACTCGGTTGGCAGATGATTTGTGCATTGGCAATTGTGGTTTGGTCAGTCTCATTCATGTTCCCAATCTTCTGGCTTCTCAAGAAGGTATGTTGGGCTACACGTGAATTATAGTACAGCAACATGTGAAGATGATATTCAGTTACTTATGTTTCTTTGTAAACCGGTTTTCTTATCAAACCAAAATGTTACAGACCGGCAAACTACGTGTCTCGGAAGAGGTCGAGATCAACGGATTGGACGTTTTCAAGCACGGAGAAATGGCCTACCCACTCAGAGCCTACGGTCATGGATGGCATGATTTTGAAAGAGCCAACAAGATCCAAGCGTTCAGTTCCAAGATCACAGTAGGAGAGGGAAAAAACACCAGAATCATGAAAATCCATCCAGAAAGTAGGGCTTCTAAATAATTTCATTTTGAAACACATGATACTTTGCAGTGTCCATTGAGCAGTTGGCATCCGTGTATGATAGAAGTGGAAACATAATTCCAATGCCAAAGAAGTCGCGTACATTGTTCACAAATCCATCGGAGAGAAAACTGTCACAGATGATATACAACGAGAATAAGATGTGATGATGATCATTAAATTTGTAAATTTCTGATTAGAAGAATAGAATTATAAATATATGTTTCGGTGTCACTTCAATGAAGTCTGTCATTCAAAATATTCATTTTTACCCTCTTGTCAAACTAGTTGCATGTATTGGACACAATTCGAAACCACCCGTACCTCATTTGAAGCTCAAAACGCCCGAATAATTAGAGAGCGTTTGGAATACTGCGCGCACGCGGTGCTTTCTGTCACTCGAAAATTGGCGCCTTTGACGGACGGAATGGGGTGCGGACGACGGCGACGATGAAAATGGAAACAGGATGCGAGTTGGCAAAATGGGGCGTGGAAGTGGGGAGTGAAGATGAAGAAGAATAAGAATAAGAAGAAAGAAAAAGAAGAAGCGAGCTTTTGTTGGGTGCGCAAGAAGCCATGGGCTTTTGTTTATTCCCCAGGGGAAATGTGAAGCACATGCGACGAATACAAAATGTGATTTTTGAGTTTTCACAACCTCCCGTTTTGTAGTTCACTATACAACCGTTAAAATGTTTTAGATCTTACGTCCCAAGGTCCTCAGTTCTCGGATTCTCCAGTTGCTCATTCAGTAGGCAAGATCTCATTGTTTTTCATTTTCTTCCTCCAGTTTTTTTCCCAGTTTTTGCCCCTATTTTTTTTCAACCGGCAGTTTCGACATTGTCTTCAAATTCAATTTTCCAGTCTTCTTTTCGTTTTCTGTTTTCCAGAGTATTTTTTCAGAGGCTCTGTTTTGTTGGCCAAGACTTACTACTATACTACAACTTTCTCATTTTTCCCCACTAAAAAAACACCAAGACCCGAATTTCCGGCGAATTGTTTCTCAATTTCCTGTCGTTGGGGCAAAAATGGAAAAGGGCTTTAAATTTGTGAGAAAATGCCAATCTAGTGCTCTAGTGGGTCACCAACAGAAAACCAATCATATCAAATTTCGAAATTGAATGCTACTCGAAAAGAAAAACGACGAAATGGTTGAAACGCGTTTCTCCTTCTCTCTCTTTCTCATTTCAGGTTACGTCAATTTTTCCTTCATTCCTATTTCTGCTGTCCTTTTTTTTCACTCGGATAAATATTGCGTATTGTCCTTCCTTTTTTTTCTGGCGAAGCTGCTTCAACATTTCACAAGAATCGAAGAAAAGGAAAAAAAAGGTCTCGAAAAAGAAAACTTACTTACCCCCAGCCAATTGTAGTTATTCAACACACTACATCAACTTCTTTCTTTTTTCTTTCTTTTTCTATTTTCTTCCCATTTTCTTTTTTCTCTTCTTTCCCGTCTATGCTCATTTTTTGTTGCTCATTTTTCGAAAGACGGACCCTTCAAATGATCCACAGACTACCTCCTCAGAATCTTGTCTTGTCTTGTTGAATCTGCTACAAATGCTAATAAGAGATTTCTATTGAAACATTGTGCTATTGTCCTGCTTCTGAAGAGCTGCCGAAAAGTGCACTTGGCTTGAAATCGGATTGCATGACAGAAGAGTGTATAAGACGAAGAGACGCAGAGAAAAATCAAATTTCTTGCCTTACTTAGGGAGTTCCTTGATTTTTGTCGGGGAAAAAAGAGTCGACAGCTGAAGAACGTCTTCTTTTAAGACCTAATGCGGCTTGTCGCGCCTCGTCAACCTGCCACAACTCATCTTGACTTCTCAAATTTCGTTCGTCCATATCCCATTGCAATTTGCATAATACGCATCTTGCCCGTCAATTCGCATTCTACCATGACGGGTCAGGCCTTGCGCAATTCATATTTTTCTATTTGCTCTCAAACCGTCTTTTCTTTTGGACTGTCAGTGAAGGGAGCTAGTACTGAATTCAGCTACTTTTTTTTCTTGTTTTTTATGTGGGCTTAGTTCTAGGCAAGCTGGAATGTTATTGAAGAGTTATTGAAGAGTTAGATGGGACGGGATGTATTTTAATTTATTGGAAAATAAAGTTGATACTTCACAAAGTGGTTTATTTTCAATTTACAACTTTTCCAATCTGCATCGTAACCTTCAATGCACTGAAATTTTAAGCTAGCCTAAAATAATGTTGATTGGACCCTGTCAATTGTATTGATATCAATGGTTTTTCAGAAAGTTACCCAGTCAAAACTAGAAATAGAGGTTTAAAGCAAACAAAAAGAAAATGAGCCATGGTTCTCCTTGGAGCGCACCCGTTCTTCTTGGACCGCAACCTTCTTGTGTTCGCTAGACCAATTTGGCTTTCCGCGAGCATATGTCGCATATTTTGGCCAGGGTGTTGGTGCCAATCAATAATATGCATGTGTTGACGCGTGTCTGTTGGATGCGCGAGAGCTTGTGTATATGTATGCATATGCGTATGTGGTGCGGTGTGTGACGAGCGGCCACCCTCGCTTCCCGTTTTCTTCCCTCCCTTTCCCGCGACCTCCTCTTTTGTGCATAACCCTATTTCTGCATATTTTGCCTTATTCCCTGCTTTGTCTACATTTTTATATCCCTTTCTTGTGTGGTCTCATCCTTCAAGACAGCTTGATACATATCTTTTTTGTTTGGAAGTGGTTTGTGTTTGGAAGAATCTTCCCAGATCCAGCTATTTTTCTAGTGGTTTATGTATACCAGACTTTAACAGGAAGAGTTTCCACCCTTCATGTCATTCGAATACATCCTCATCCTCATTTTGCTTCTTTTTTCTTTTTTCTCACGGAGACCAGAAAAGAAGTCCTGAGCTTCCTGCTCTTCCCATTTCTTTTCATACGCTCCACTTTGAAGAATGTGATGAGCACTAATGATGAGCGGAAAGAAGCTAGACATACACTGTGTATCTTCAATTATTAGAAATCCGGAGATGATGAGGAGCACGAAAAGGAAACATTTAGTGTTTCCGTATGTGTCTAGCCCATTTGTGCTCTTTCTCCAAAACAACAACACTTTTTTGGTACGGATGGGCAAAAAAACTTGTTGAGGCTCAAAAATGTTACTGCAACACAAAAACACTCGAGCACTCTGAAAAAAAGTCGTCCAAGGTTTTTAGAATTTCAAATTCTTAATTAGATCTACCGTGCATGCTCCGATTCTCAATAATTGCACTTTGAGCACAATTATCTTGATTTTTAGAAGTGCTATCAAAATGTGTCAATTGATAGAATGTTGGTGATATTATGGCAAACATTTTATCGTAGACAAACTTGTGTTATCTCTTTTAGACATTGAGATAATTGAGCTTACAAGTATAAGATAACCTTTTATTAGAGGGGTCTTCTATTATGTCTGTCATAATGCCAGTAACATTTTATACGTTAACAGATCCTAAATAATTAATGAGAAAATTGAAATAATTGAGCTTGAAATGTAATTGCAGTATCGCGGTCTATTAGAGCTACTACAGTTTTTTTTTTAATTTCTGAAAACACTACATATTTTTTTCCAATATTTCTTCACATATCTTAACTAAATCCAGTCGGTACAAATAGTTATATACCATAAATCATTATATTTTCTGTCATTTTTCCCTGTCATAAAAATACGCCTTTAATCCATATAAGTTTGGATTTATGTACTCATCCTGTTCAAATTCTCCTAATGTGGAGATGTTATTCTAGTTTCGGCTTCAGACATCTTTTCGTATGAAGTACGTTGTACTTCTGTGGCTTAGGATCTGTAGTTGTCTTTAATTTCAGTCTGTAAAAAGTAAATAGCGATTTTCAGCTTCCAAAACTGTGAACTTTGAAATGAATTTCATTGAATATCCTAAAATTATGTGCACTTTTTGAAAACTGCAATTTGGCATGCAGTCACTCTCGTCTTTCTGTCTTTCTCGTGCCAACTTTCAACTCGAATTTCAAATTTTCCATTCCCACCTGCTCATAAATTTTTGAAAACCTTCCCTCCAACGCTTTCTGTCTGCCTCTTCTACCTCAATCCTCCTTTTTCTTCATACCACACTCCAAAAAAACTTTCTCTTCCAGATATGGAAGACGAAGACCGACCGTCGAGAAAACCACAAATTGTTGTGAGTTTCAGCATATATTAGTCTTGGTGGTTAGAACGCCTAAGCTAATTTTAACACAATAATTTTGTTGCGTTGTTGTGATGACTCGTACGCGTTTTCTTATCACAGTACTATCAGTTTTCTGACTCACAGCGCTTCTCTAACAATATTGTTGGGTCAATGTATACCTACACTCTCGCAAAAATCAGTATCGCTCGACGTGTTGCATTGCTTCTTTTCCGTTCCTCTGCCACACTCTCATCCTTATTTTTTTGTTCGTTCGGCTATTTTTCTTTTCTGTTCCTCTTTTTTCTGCCTATCTAATTTTTGCTTTGCCGTTCCGTTTTCGTCAGCTTTTTTGGGCTCAGTGCTGGGTGTTTTTGTTGTGTCTCACTTTTGACATTTCGCATCAACCCTTCCGCTGAAAAAATGAAGAAAACAGCAGAACAAAAAATCCACTTCATCGGTTTTTCTTTTTGTGGTGTCGTAGAACCCTTCTTGAATTTTTTATCGTGTTTAAAAACGCTACTGTTGCTTCACAGTAGATGTAACTTTTCTTGAAAAACAAATTGTTATTATTTTCAGCTCTGGTTGGAAGGAAGATTTGAAAATATGATGAATGGGCGGGCCGTAAGGTCCGTTCTAATACGCAACAATCGGCAGGAGAACGGATCTGTGGACCATGTGAGTTACCTGTTTTTGGAAAGCAATCCACAGTTGAAAACTTCCATAAAAAATAGTTTCGTAGACTATGACGCAATTCATTAAAACTACAAAAATCGTTTTTATAATTTTCGAATCAATCGGGAAAATTTTTTTGAATTTTTTTTCGTTATAGAAGTTGAAAAAAACGTCATTCAAATTTGCTGTTTTACACCGAAAACGCGACTTTTTGGTACTAAAACTGATATTATTCTGCTGAAACTGGCGAGCGGATTCAAGAATTTTCAGAAGTGCCTAGATAAGCTATGTTTGAAAAATTCTGAAATTTTTATCAAAATCTGAATTCACAAAGTGTTGAGTTTCCTTTGTTAGTTTTTCTTCTTCTTCAAAACTTTAATTTCCAGGTCCCGCGCTCCATACAATTCGACGAGAGTTCCGAAGAATACAGATGCTTGTGCAATTGCTTTCATGTCAAGACGGGTGCCTTCATAATCGGTTGTGCACATGTTCTAATGATCCTCTTCTTCCTTATACATAGTCTATTCGTTTATTTCCAACACGACGGAAGGTTACAGCAGGTTTGACTCAATTATAGTTCTTTTCCATCCAAAATATCATTTTAGGCTCGAGGTGTGAAAGAAAACTATGTGTTCGGCTCCTTCCTCGCTGAGATGATCGGTCTCGGTTTGGGTATTTTTGCAGTCTTCCTTCTTTTTGTTGCATTATCTCGAAACTCAGCTCTACTGGTGGTACCACATCTTGTTATGCAGGTATGTGTTGTTTTTTGGTTTTTTGTTTGGAGGAAAAACACCTAGTCCCAAAAAATCCAATTTGTATGCCAGTCGGGCTCATTTTGAAAATGGAAGCTCATCCGCTCTCTAATTTCAGGTTATTGCCATTCTCTGCTTCATTTTGGTGTTGGTTAGTGGAACGATAGCATTGTGCACGGATTCAGCGGTTTTCTATCGACTAATAAACGCGGCACCGTTCATGGAACATCCCAATAATAACACAGTGGCTTTGGATACCGGTTAGTTTTAAGTTATACACACCGATGGCTCGATATTTGAATTTCCGGAAAATTGAACACCTGTGAATATACAAACACATATTTTTCAGTTCATCTTCGTTCATTTTGACCAATTTCAGGGGTATAAATACAAAAAAGAAGGGGAGGGTGTAAAACAGACCTAGATTGAAAACTTTGTATTCACAGAATTTTTAGAAAACTCAGATTTCACAGCTATTTTCCAACGGGCTCGAAAAAGATGTCTTTCAGAGATTGACAAATAACTCGAAGCCTAGTAATTATGAAAAACTCTATGAATGCCAAGTTTTTAATCCAGGTCTGTTTTACACCGTTTTAAATGTTTTACACCGTCTGAAATGTGGATCAAAAACTAGACAGGCGAGCGCCAGAATCCTAAAAATGGTCAAAGTGACCGAAAATCAACTGAAAAATATTTTTTTGTAAATCATATTGGCCGATCCAGTGAATTGAACCTATAACTTTTTACAGGAACCATGGTTCGAATCTACTCCCTCATGATTGTCTATGCAATCTCCTTAGCTCTGGAGTTCTGGTTTATTGTTGTCATCTACAACTGCAACAGATACCTAGACGAGCGCAGTGACTACATGAAATACTGTCTAGCATTCAGCACACCCATGAAGACCCTCTCAGCCAGATAGACTCTCAAAATATAGATATCGATTTTTTAATGTTTACTTTTGCTTGGTACGTTTCTCTAGTGCTGAATCGTAGCCTATTTTTCACGGTTTATAAATGTAAATCTCGCTAATTTTTCTTTAGTTTTACGCTTAAAATCCCCCTATTTTGTAACTGTGTCATTTTCACTAGCCAAAGTGTCTTCTTTCCCCCATGGATACGTCTAACTGAGCATTTACCTCCCTAGCCTTTATAATTTTTCACTTGCTCAGAGTTTTTATTTTGAACTTGTTCTTTCACTTTTTTTCAATTAACAAAAAAATCTGTCATACTGTAGCATTGGAGTTGTGCCGATGTACATCGCTTTTGTGTTTTATTATTATTATGTAATTCAAGATTCAAGAAATTCAAGAAAAAACGATACGATCACAAATAACCATGCTTTTTTAGAACACAATAACTGTTCAGATTATTGCGAAATGACCTGATCAATTATTGTTTTAACATTGTTTAGTAAACATTGTCGAGATCAATTGGCACAATAAAAATTAAGTAAAACAATAGTGTACTTCGTGTTGAACAATAATTGAATAGAGAAGAATTCCAGATGTTTTAAGCTCCACCCAAATACCATGGCTTCCATTTCGCAGTAACTGCAGGATACTGTACCACTCGTTGGGTGGTAGTTGTAGTTTGTGGAGGCCGATAAGTTATCTTGACAGGTGTGGAGGAATCATCGTTGTCTTGGGAGCCATGGTTACTACTTCAGGCTGGTAGACAGCTGGAAATTCACAATTTCTAGAGGATATTCGGTTATAAGCGACAAGAATACCTTGTGACGTGGCAAACATCTGCGAAATCGGCGACAACGCAGCGGCTGGTGTATTATAACTTTGGGTCCCGGGAAAGAGCTCCTTATCATAACTGTTTTCTAGTAGTGCAGTGATTTGAGAGGGTAAATTTGGAGGAATCAAACTTTTCAAAATATCAATGACCTGAAAGAAAAAATCGCAATTTTAGAGGGTTTATTTTAGAGGGTTCCAGTACCTTATGTCTTCTAGGTGTTGCTCCGTACTCGGTTGTTGTGAACAATGGGTGTTGAGTTGTGAACACAAATTCGCCTGCAAAATGCACTTTTCAACATTTTCCGTACGTTTTCCATACCCGATGTAGTTTTTTGTTTCCAGTGCTCTTTGTTATATTGCACTTTTTGCCCGTAACCACCTTTCTTCCAAATGTTCGACTTTTCTTGTTGCATTTCTTCTGGGTAGGGAATGTTATTAGTCAAGTTTGCCGCAAAAGTTGGTCGTTGCGGTCGCATGTAAACATTTGACTGGTCAGGTAGAGCAATGTAAATGTTTTCGGCGGTTGATGGAGACGGTGGGGAGGTTAGAACCATTGGGTATTCTTGGATTTCAGTTTTCGATTTTTGGGTCTGAAATAAGTCGAATTTGGTGAAAATTGATTGAAAAACAGGTGATTACCGGTTTTCGATAATGTGTTTTGATTTTCTTCTCTTTCAATGGCGAGATTTTCGGTTTTTCGGTAGTTGTAACAGTTTCTGAAAAAAACATCTTTTGTTATTGAATTTTCATGTCAGGAAATGTCAAATTAGTCAATCAGATCTAATAATTTGTAGATGTTTATTCTAGATATGTACCCTTTAAGCTCAATTATCTCAGTTCCAATGCGAGATAACAAAAATCTGTGAACTGATTAATGATTGGTGATATTATGATGAATAATTCACCAGAGAAAAATGTTTTGATATTTTCTAAAAGAACTGAAATAATTGAGCTCAAAATGTACGTAAAGGGTGGGCCAATTGAAACAAACACGGGATACTAGAATTAATTCAATATTAAAAAAACCCTAAACCAGTAAATTTTCAAAGCACCATTTCTAACACTGCAGACTACTGGATAGGATGGCTCAAATACTGTCGCTTGAAGCTCTTGGAACAATCCTGCCGCATCGGCACCACACTTTTCTGAAATTCAAAAGTCATCGCATCTCCCAGTAGTTCCAATCTTACGGTCTATATCGATCATTGTGCAAATATTTTGTTCTGAAATCCAAGTTCGCATCATGCAGATAAAATCGGAGCCTCTCGAGTTGCACTCTTGTCTGGAACATCCCTCATTTACTGGTTTCAAACTTTTTAAAGCTTACTTGCATGACAAAACTTGTTTTCCGTAGTCATTATCATCCATCTGACATCCAGTGGTTGCTGGTAATGAGAGCACGCCGGATATACATTTTTGGTGTTCGATGACTGATCTGAAGAAAGACAAAACACTGATTGTGGTGATGATATTAAAAGGTCATATTTATTCAATATCCTCTTATTTTCAATCTTCACTTTTACCTAGATAGACACCAATTGAAAATAGGCGGAAGGTAATTTCACATTATTAAGTAAACACGTTTCGAATACAGTGTGCTTATTTGAATTGACACCTCTCAAGTGCTTGCGTTTGCCTGCTTTTCGAATCTTTTCCCACACATTCGTTCATGGTCATTTCCTGACCCCCTATAAAGTTGTTTTTGACCGTTGATGCCAGGCGGCAGCTAATTGGTTTGTGGCTAATTTGGGAAGAACAGGTGTTAACCGAACAAGGCGCGAAAACCGTTGAGCAAACGTTGCCGAACAGTCGTAATTCGCCAGTCACGTAAGCTGCATGGGGCGAACAATAAAAATAGAAAAAAAGAGACAAACAACAAGAAACTGTTAGTTTCGATGGATACACAATTTATGAAAGGGCTCGATTGCAAAAGTCATTTTGTCCGTCTCGGGGAGAAAGAAGTTTTGTTTTGTTTTGTCTTGGTGCGAACTGAGATCAGAATGACGTGGACCGAAATTCGGAATTTTCAAACAAATGACTAGACAAGAGAGCTTGAATTTTTCTAATGAAATCTTTTAAAAACTAGTTAAAACAGGAAGTGCGAAATCTTAAAAAACTAGTCAAAACAGAAAGTACCGTGAACATGCTAATAGAACGCCTCACCCTTAACCGTCAACTTTGAGCCAATTTATCTTGATCCCTGAAAAAGATTTCAAAAAGTTGAAAAAATTTGGATAGCTCTCATATGGAACGAGATAATCGAGCTCAAAGTATATGGTGGGCATCGTTCAGGGGGGCACAGTCAAAATCGAGTAAATTTATCTCGGTTCCTGGAAAATATATCGAAAAGTGGCTAACTGAGAACAAATTCACCTAGAATGTTTTGTCAGTTGACTATTTTTCAATATCTTACGAGAAATGAGATATATTAGCTTGAATTTGACTGTTTAAGTCATTCTGTTAAAGTGTTCACTATTTTTCAATTTTCTAACTTCAAAAGGGAATTGAACCTATTCCCGTTTTTTCTATGCCCGAATTGCACCTATGCCCGTTTTTTTTAGCCTAAGTGTCTTTTTTGTGGCAGTTTTGGAAGTTTTGGGTTTCATTTTCATCACGAGTAAGCTAGTTGAAAACATCACCTAGTATCAGCCTGCTACCACCCACAACTCACTTCTGTCTCTTCATGCTGAAAGGTGAACACAAATACATAATTGTTTTTGAAACTTCACTCAATATCCTCTTCTGTTTATCATCTCCACATTCCAGAATTTTCTCTTGGAAACATGGGAGAGTAGATGAGTACACCCTGCAAAGGAGAGCATTAGAAAAAGTATCAGAGAATAAATAATTTTCATTCATATTCGTGCCTCCAACCGATAAGGTAACCAAGAAGATTCTTGACACACAAGTTAAAAGTATCACCGTTCAAAAATCTTACTTGCAGGTGTGAAGAAGACGTGCCTCTGTGCCAATGTTAAAAATCAGACTCAAAATGTTTTTCTCAATTGGCACGCGCTGAGCTTTCAATCGAAGCATGCAACCCAGAAATGAGTGATCAGGACATCGCCCATAAACTTGAGAAATTTCTGGAAGCTTTATTTTGAAATGGTTTAAAAATATTCAAAACTTACCACCCAGAAAAAACAATATGAAAATGAATTTCATTGTTTTAGCTGGAAACGGAAGATTAGGATAAAAAAAAGGCGATTAATGAAAAAGGGTTTTTAGATTTGACACGGATAGATAGAAATCAAATCAAGACCGTATCTACAGAACGTGCTCACAGAGCCTCCTTTTCTGACACTTTCCAAATAAGAGCACGCCCTCTTTCTCACTAACCGTTGTTTTGCTCTCCCCTTCTGTCTCAACCCCAACCTCCTCCCGCCCGCACTTTTTCGTGCGCATTTTGGTAACGATACAACGCAAACTTTCCCTTCCATCATTCATCACATTTCTTTAGCCACACTGGTCACTCTAGCCTTCCCAACTCGTCAATCCACTCAGGATTTGATCGCGAGTTTAGATTAGAAAGAACAACGGGAGATTCGAGGGGTCAGGGCTATTGATAGATGTTCGTGGCGCTCTCCAGAGCTCGTGGTTTTTGAGGAAATGAACATATTTATCTTGTTCGAGGAGAGAATGATTAAATGATACAGTTGTCTGCGGTTGAAATCTATTTCGGGAAAAGACAGATGGTTTCTTCCTTTTGGAGTGGATGAAAATTGTGTGTTGCTAATTCAAAAAGTTTAATTTGAAAAAAAAAAAACGAAATCAGGGGCTTTGGAGGAAGGTATCCACTGAATCGTAAAAAAGGTTATTGCTCAGAACGCAAAAAATGATTTCTCGGAAAAAACCAAACACATTTATAGAGAACGCTACAGTAATCCATCGTATATACGACGACATTTTCAGATCCAGATGACATTTTCCTTTTGATTCCAAGACATTTGAATGACGAGGATTTTCCGAACATTTTTTTGTAATTGAAATATGACGAAAACTACAAAAACGAGAATATCCAGAAATGATTGGAATTTCCAAATTTTTGTTCGCTTCTTCAAATATTGGAACGTAGAACAAAAGATTTGGAACTTAGACCAGAATAATCCAGAATAACTGAGCTTGGACCAGAATAACTGAGCTTGGACCAGAATAACTGAGCTTGGATTTCACGTGGAGCATCTATTTAAGCAAGTACGTCATCTGAATCCATAATATTCTCTACCCAAGAAACCAAAAAATCTAATCTCAAGTTCGTTTAAGTGGAATGCGGTAGCCCTCACTCCTCGATTCTGACCTACGACCCACTTCGAAAAATTCAAAATCTTCAGATTGTTTTTACGAGATACTGTAATTGGTTTTTAACGCTTTCTCGAAGCCATTTTCCATTTTACCCAGAAGGAGCAAGAAAATTGGCACATGCGAATGGCACCAATGCTAAAAATTTGACCCTTCAATTATCTTTTGACCCGCCCAATCTCCTCGAGGAAAAAGATGATGTGTGCTCTCAGACTTTGCTTTCTTCATTCTCACATTTTCGACTCTTTTTGGCAAGTGACATCCTAATTTATTGTCTAATTTGGGGTGCTCATTTTTTTTTTGGAAGCTGATGTTTTTGAAAAAGTCGGCAGTGTTTTTCCTCTGAATATTGTTTATTTTGAAACGGTATTAGGTTGTTTGGAAAGTTCTTTGATCTACTCTTTTCAAAAATGATTTTTGTGAACGGTGTGAAAGCAAGGGAGCAATCGTTTTATCAGTATATTGGTGGGGTCTAATAGTGTCTACACCTCAACGGAGATCATTCTCCTCTTTTCGCGCAGTGAGATATGCTCAACGTTTTCAACCCTAACACTTAAAAAGGGGACTCCGACCAAAAATTTTTATTGCATTCAAATGTGTTAAAAGTTATCTATTTTCCGAATATTATTGCGAAAAATTCAAAAAAATCCGAAATTCCCAAAAAACGCCGTTGCAAAGGAAGAAAATTCAAAAAAAGGTGCCGCCGGGGGACGAGGATTTTCAGTGAGAAACCTAGGCCACGGCAGCGGGCGCCTTTTCTATGTGGCAAATTTTCCGGATTTTTTTCAATTTCATGTCCGGCAAATAAAAAACGTAAAAAACCAGTGTCGGCGACTTGAAAAAAAGGCTGTCATTTGCCGTGGCCTAGGTTTCTCACTGAAAATCCTCGTCCCCCGGCGGCACCTTTTTTTGAATTTTCTTCCTTTTCAACGCCGTTTTTCGGGGATTTCGGATTTTCTTTGAATTTTTTCGCAATAATATTTGAAAAATAGATAAATTTTAAAACATTTTAATGCAATAAAAATTTCTGGTCGGAGTCCCCCTTTAAAACTTTCGAGCTGTCATTTTATTTTTATTCCTATCTGACCTGAAAATTTCTGAAATCAATGTCGGATTAATGGAGACTAACAACGAAGATTCATGCTTCAGAATACTCATCACAACCGGGCTTCATAAGTTTGAAAAAGGAGAATTCTCATTTGTCGAAAATCCCCCCTCAGAAAGGCATATGGGCTTAGTTTTGAATTTATTGGAAACCGGAATTCGAAGGGAGCCCTTTCAAATTGTGCGGGATTTATAAAGTAAGTTCGGAGCAAACCTTTAATCAAAAATCCTTGGGCTGGAAACTCTCGGTAGAGTCAAAGTGCGAAGATGTGAACCACACCTTTTGGCTCAACGCAACTTTGTTTCACGTGTGGGCACCTGTTTGAATCTTCGAATCCTGCGTTGCACACATGAATGTTGGAATCAAATCGTTACTAGTGGTGATAAAAGGGTAATGTATAATTACAATAAACGATATGCCATGTGGGTTGACAAAATCACTCAACCACCAGACCACCCGAAACACGAATTTCATGGTGAAAATGGGATGTTGTCGGTATGATGGTCTACCACGAAGTGGAGTAATGCGAGCTACTAGATGATGGTGTCACTATTGACCGATACCTATTCTTGTCAGATAACAAAACTCAAACTCCGTGTGGATCTCCATAGGAAAGAAAAACAAAGGTTAATTTTCAAAATTATAATTTCCAACCGCATGTCGGAAGGAAGACCCAGACCGATCTCGGTTGATGTGGCTGGACTATTCTATCTTATACAACGTTTAGGCCAAACCTTGGTCTTTCTGACTATCACTTATCCAGCTATTTACAACGCTATGTTGATTGAAAAAAAATCACCTAAAAACATGATATCAAAATGGGTTGACTTGATTTTTAATTCGCTGTGACTGGAGTTTTGGAAGAATGTCATCCACAATTTGGTGGGGCGTTGACAGAAAGTCATTGATAACAATGGTTTTTACCTTCTATTTATCCGACATCGTTTTGACCCTTTTTACATTAAATAAAAAAAACCTTACGCTAAAAATGGGAGGAACTTTCCAAACAACCTAATAGATTCTTAGAAAAAGAAAACTAAATAATTTTCAAACTTTGCAGAGACTAACTACCATTAAATATTCTTTCCATTGGACCATATGTTGCAATTTATTTGGAAAATCATTCAAAACGCCCTCAATCGGTTTGACAGATTTGATTGCAAACCAGTGAGTCTAAAAGTTGAATTCTGATTACATTTGGCTCTCAGAGGGCTTTATAACCTCAATTAGTAAAAAATGAGTTTTTATTCTATACTGGCTTCTAACTTATTAAAGTTCTGTTTTCTTATTTCCAGTCTTGTAATTTTTATGAACGTTTGAATTTCTCCCATAGGAAAATGGTCAAATTAAAAAACTGAAAGCTCACGCAACCTTCGACGCAAACCCGTTACTCCCCAGTTTTTTTTCGTATTTTTTTCATATGCTTATTACACTATCACTTCTTACATATTTCCCTCTAACTTTCTAGTTTTAGCTCCTTTTGAACCCACCCAAATCTTTCAAATTTATTTTTCCTGTTTCCATCTTTCAAAACAAAACAAATGAGCATGACGTGTCAATAGTAGAAAGAAATTGAAGAGAATTTATATGGAGAACACACATTTTTCTCTGCCAGTGCACGGAGACGAGAAAAAAGGGCGTTTCGGTCATGGTGACGAAGAAAAATGAATAGAACGTGTATATTAAGCTAGGCAAACTCGCCGTACAACGACTACTGTGCATGCACGCTTTTTGTTTATATTCTTTGGAGTTTTGTTTTTCACCTATTTTTCGTCGCAAATTGATATCATAATTCATATCACCTTGCAGATGGGTTTCAAACTTCTCACGTTCTTCTTCTTTTTTCTGGTAAGTTACTGATCTGCGATCATTTCCTTTTTTAGTGACTCTGATCATTGGATGAACTTATTTATTATGCTATTTGAATACAAGAAAAAAAACTAAGAGTGGAATTGGGGTCCAAAATGAAAGGGAACAGATTGTTTGATAGCTTTTCTGAAGGAAGCTACATTATACAACACTTCAATCACAACTTTTTCAGAATACCTAATTTTTTTCGAAAGTGACTGAAGTGATTCACTGATTCCAAATTCTAATTCGGAGTCGCTATTTTTCTTCTCCGGAAGATTTTCACAACTCATTCTTTAAATTCGTTTTCGAATACTGACTTTCTGAACATTTGAAACCATTCCCTTCAAAATTGCCTTAACGGAGGCCAGACACCAAAAAAAAAGTTTTCCTGATATTTTGCATAGAGAACCCCCATAAGGGGTTGAACTCATGACAGGCAGCTCAGGGGTACAGCGCCGCTACCGGCTGAGCTACGGAGGCGCGAAGGCGCCTGACGACCGATGGTCTACATAAGCGCGGCGCGATTTCGTCCCCCGAACTGTCCCCCGCAATTTTTGCTGTCTCGCCTCCTTTAAGAATTTTTCGAGAAATAATAATCAAGATCAGAAAAAGAATAATTATATTGGGACTTATTCAATTGGGTTTTAAAAACCTTCCAGATTCCGGAAGACAGCTTAATCTTCGAATGATGAAATACACTTTGTATGAGATCAGAAGGAAATAATCATTTTAGATCGATGAAAAATTCAGATTTCATTTAAAGTTTCTCGTAGTTTTCATGTTTTCCATTCGAAAACAGTAAAGACATTGAATTCATCAATTGTGAGAACTTCTTTATGTAGATATTTCTTAAAAGAGGTCGCCTTTGTATTCCTAAAATGTTTTCCGGAATAGTTTTACTCTAGACTTAATTAATTGAAAAAAAAACGTTGAGAAAATGAGAAATAATCAAAAAATATAAATGGACAGAATTAAAGAGTGTCGACAAGTTAGTTGTTTCGTAGCTTCTTTTTTCTCAAAGCAACAATATTTTTTAGTTTTTGGTTCGCCCAGAAGCAACCTACAAGACTAATGTCGTCGTGCTCACCTATGTGGTCATGAAGCTCCAGTGAGTCGGCTTTTACCTATCTAATCATTGATTTCAATTATTCAGGAAGCTGATCTGGATGACCTACAAAACTCGCAAAAACCATCAAGAGGTCCACTACTACATAGCACCAGGACAAGCTTTTGGAGTGCTCCCATCCCAAACGTACCGCTCGTTTCGATTTGCTTTGGACTTCATTCTCATAGTGGTGGTAAGATAATATCCGTAAATGTCTTACGTGTTCCTAAACTCTTAATCACTTATTTTCAGTACTCTCGCTTCATCGCTCAATTCTGCACCACAACTGAAACTCGTAACACCGTTGCAGCATACACTGTGGTGTAAGAGAAACAATAGAAACATTTTCAAAGTAATCATTTTTTTTCAGCTTCACATTCCTGCACTCCTGGGAGCACCTCCTTTACGGAATCTACGGATTCGACATTGTTCGCAACAGTAACCTGGCCTAAACTAGCCATTCCAATGATCACAAACCAATATAATTTTCAAATTATCAATTGTTTGCGTTTTTGTTTCCATATTTTCCTGCACACATGTATTTTTTTCACTTTCAAAAATTCAACTCAATGAATTTCCAATTTTTCGAAATGTTGTCAAAGTATTTCCGTTTAATCCGTTTCATTGTATCTAAAAGATTCAAAAATCTACAATGAAATCTTTAAAACTCGATCTGATCTTCCTAATTTATTTTAATGTGTTCCTAATTTTTCATTTCTTCTCACTTTTCTTTTGCTTTTTGCCCTTGAGACCCTCTTGTTTCTCTTGTCTGTGTGTTGTGTGTGCGCGCGTGCACTAGACGCACGTCAACTACCCACATTTTGCGTCAACCGCCCCGGTTGACCCTTTCTCGGTTTTCAGTGCGATTTGCATATTTGTCATATTTATTGTCATGTTGGAGCAGTTTTTTCTCAAGTTTTGTTAATTTTACTCAATTTTTTTATAACGTTCCCGTGGTATTTAAGCTTGTTTGCAGTAGCTAAGACCTAAACATAACTTTTAAACTATTAAAAACACGCCACCACCAAATATTCATCGTTTTTTTTTGATACTGCAACCATCCAAGTAAACACATGTCGACTTCTCAATCGCCCACCATTTGTTTTCATTTCTTTTGAAAACGTTTCTGTTCGCCTCTCTCACTTACTTTTGTTACACAAAAACCCAAGTTGTTTTTTCTCGCATTTTTTCTCTCTGTGACTTTGTGTCATTTGAAGAAATCACTTTGTGGCACTTCTTTTTACTTCTAGAAAGCTTCTTTTATAGAAAAAAAATGGTGAGTAAGTAATGTAATTAGTTAATTTTAGTTTCTTAACTAACAGAAAAAGCATGCCTCTTCCCCCTAATGCCCGCATACAGGTCGCATTATCGATTTTCCCCCGTCTTCTCATTACTCCTGTACTGTTTTACATTGAATGATTATAGATGGGAAACCTATTTTCTCGCACCAAGTCACCTGCCACTGAGCTTGAGCGTGTAGTTCTCTCAATTGAGGACTTCAAGAAGCGACTTCAGACGATATCAGCGGTAATGTCATCTCAAGAAATAGAAAAAAGTCACCTAATTATTTTCCAGAGCAATTCATCGACCCTTTACTACTACTACATGGGCGTCATAATCATTCTGAGCATTGCGATGGCTCACACTTGGCTCCGTTTCGACGATCCGACAAAGACCTACGTGGCGTGTGCGCTCGTATTTGGAGCGACTGTCATCGTTCTCACCGGCCGGTACATCATCAACTGCTTCTTCGCGTGGCGCACAAACCGAACTACACAGAAATTGGAAAACGCGATTACACAGAAGACAGTTTTGCTGGATCTGGTTAAAGAGACTCTCAAGTTCAAGGTATGACATTTTTCTGAATGAGTAGTAAGGGATCTTTCTCGGCCTGCAAATTTTTCTATGGTAGAAAGTCACTTGCCAATCCTTATTCAAAAAATAGCACTACATCTCAAGAAAATTCTTTCAGGAAGCCAAAGAAATTCTGGACCGCTACGAGGAGAAAACCGAGGCTGGAAACACCCCAACCGAAAACAGCAAACTGATTCATCAACAGAAACAACAGAATGAGACGCTTGTTTCAAAAACAATAATGAAACCAGATCAGAAGCGTGTGGAGACTCCAGTTTCCCAGAAACCAGTTCCGTCAAAACCTGGAATCGCATTTGACTCGGTAAGTATCAGTATTATATAAATTTTGGCCGGGTTAAAACGAGTACCTTATTTCGGGCAAATTCGACATGAAGAATTATCGAACTGAATTAATTGGGAATTGAATTACCGATTTTTTACTATACTCGGCTGCCGGCTTGCTATTTCTGGGAAAAAAATTGATAGGGGGTCGGCTTTGGGACGAATATTGGCTAGGTTCCTGTCGGAACTTGTCCCAAAAAACGGCTAATTAGTAGGACGATTTCTGTCGAGAGTTGAAATTTGTTCTAGGTCGGCGAAATCTGTCGGTGTTTGGTCCGCATTAGTAGTGGTCTTACCTGAAATCTGACCAACCTCCGACCAGAAGTTGCTTGCTACTCCCGAATATTTTCATAATTTCAAAAACTTATGTTTTCAACAAAAACGTTTCAAATAAACAGGAGCCTTTGTTGGGAATATTAAACTTGGCGCGACTGGACCTGTGACGAGTATGTTTTGACAAACGTACAGATTAACCTATATTCAAAAAAACATAGAGCAATTGGGCTAGACTGTTTAGAACAAGCGTTCTGGACGGGTTTTCCAAACGTTTTGGGTGAGTTTTGCTTCTCAAATCAAGGGGATTCCAAGTTTAACGCTCATATTGAAATAGCTTAAGAAATAGGATTTCATACCAGCTAGGCAGAGTGACGACGTATTTTCTGTTCACTTTATTAAGGTAAATTTCATAACTCATGTAATACAACTCTTCCCAAGTTTTCAGTTTTTAGCTCCCTTAAAAGTTGGAGACGAAACATTCTTCGTACTCATAGACGACTTCTGTCTGACTAGGAACAAGAAACCTGACTAGTTTTATTGGCCCATAAAAAGGCAACATGCAAAGTTTCCACTTTTCTTCGTTGCAAAAAATACTTGAAGTCTCGTGGAAAAAGAACATGCAGCAAAAGTTGTCTCATATTTTAAATTCACTTGAAAGATCAGCTTTTTAGGATCCTCAACGTTTTTCAAGAGCTTCAAAAATTTGCAAATTTTTCTATGATTTTTGGAATTGGCTGCAAAAGTTTGCTGCCAGAGGTTGAGAGCGTCATCCGGATGATACAATACCATTGTCTTTATGTTTTTAGATGAACATGACTCCATACCAACAACGGAATTCAAACGCCACTCCAGTTCGTCCATTCCTTCGTCAGTCCACCGCTCTCGACCGAATTCTGGACTACTTCATGTCGGACGGACCCAATTGCAGGTCAGATGACATTTTATAAAAAATATGCACTACTTTTCCATTCCTATTTTTGTCTTCGTCGTCATGACACAGCCACCTAATGATACTCATTTTTCAGAAACGCTTTGATCTGCTCCATCTGTCATACACACAATGGAATGTCAGTGCCAGCGGAATATCCATTCATCTCCTTCCGCTGCTTCGAATGCGGCCATCTGAATGCCGCAAAGAAAATGGGGTAGGGCCTTTTTCCTTGTTTTTTTCTGCCAGCAAAAGAAGTTCCAAACAGGAAACGTTTTATTTTCAGACCACATCTTCCAATAACCCGTCCACCAATGGGTCCAAAAGGCATTCAACACAATGGCAGAGCTGGACCAGTTCCACCTAAAAATCAACAACCCGTCGTGCCAATGGAGAATCCGAATCCGTCGACCGACTTGACACCATCTGCCAGTCAACATGGATCGGACTCCGAGCCAGAAAAGAACGCCGATGAAACTGCCGTTGTTGAAAAATCCTAAAATATGGGATTTTTGTCTTCCTACACAACATAGTCTATTTCATCTACCGGGTCCTCTTACCTTACAAACGTTATTTATTTGTACCGTGTTTGTTTTTTGTAAATTATGTGTTTTAAGTCATTTCTTCTAGGTTCATCCTACTAGGTTCCAGTCTGGGTCTCTATCTATTTTCATTTCATGCCACTCTCCCAATCTTATTAGTTAAGAATCTTTATTTCTTTGAACTCGTCTCTCAAAACCTCTGGTATTCGTTTTTACTGTTGTGAATATTAAATATATAATTGCCCTTGCCAGATTTTAAGAGTTCTTCTCTCTTCTCAAATGAATTTTTTAACTCAAGCATCTGAAAATTGTAGAATACGTGAAAAAAGAAAACATAACAACAAATCAGTTTTTATTTTCAGCGGCTGCTATCACAATTCATTACGAAATTGACATAGAGTGTAAGGGGGGGGGGGGGGGAAGAGACAGAGAATGAGAGAACATTTGGGACATTTTATATAGTAGGGCTCCTTTAGAAGGTGTTCAGCCAGCTGCTCTATTTTCTTCCGAATCGAATGAACTCGAACTTGTTGCGTCGCTTCTCCGCCATCTTGAGCTGTTGGCTACCCTCCTGTAGAGCCTCCAACTCAGCCAGAGCGTTCAGGAGTTGAGTGCTGATCTGGAAATAGTCAATGAGTTTATTAAATTTTGGGGGGGAATTATAGTACCTTGTTCAAGCTCTCGTGACTTGCGTCTCCATCGTACATGGCAGCTGGAAGTACTTCCGGCGATCCTTTGGCTGAAAATAAAAAACATGAAAGATACCATCTTAGTGTTCCCTTCTGGCCCATAAGATGTAAAACTGCTGGAAGAGAATGGGGTGGACTCCAAACTAATATTTGTCTTTTGTGTTCCGGATCCTTGTTGTTTTTCAGAAACATAGTCTTTCTCTTCTTTTTAATTAGAGATTCTTGTCCAGCAGAGCCTCCTAATTTTTTTTCCGAACGATCCAGATGACACGCAAATTTGTGCAAAGACAGGAAGAAAATATGGTGTAATTCTGCATATTCAATGAGAAACTAGCTCTGACAAAATGACGAATTAGAATTTTTTAGGAAGGTGGTGAACCTTGTTGGACCCCTCTAGTGATTATTCAGACGCATAGTCAGGAAGTGTTCAGGAGGAAGGAAGAGACATGTTAGTTTTCGGCAATGAGTCACAGAATTCCTTTGTTGTAGGGAAAATAACTTGGAATAATTTGGTTTTGACAGCAAGGAGAAGAAGATACTCCTACGCTTTTTCTCACTAATTGAGTTGAAGAAATGAATTGCTTTCCCCAGATTTCGACCCACTTGGCTTACCTTTCTGTGCAACTGATGTTGCGATGAAGCACAGCAAAAGGGCAAGAACGAGTTGGGAATTCATGTTGAGCCGAAAGTTCAGCTAGTGTTTGTGCGGCGCAAAATAATATGGCCGATCTGAATTGGCGAGCTTGGGAGACATCCGAGTAGGCGGGGCCGCGCGGCGGACCGCCCACTTTTGGAGACGAAATTATGTTGAAGAAGAGCTAGAGAAAAAACCGAGAGCAAGAGAAAAAAACAAGAAAAAAAAGTGAAATCATGTGTCTTTTCGGGAGAAGATTGATGGTAGACAATGATAGAAAATTGGGCATCCTTCTTGAAATGTACGTACAACTCGTCATCGCTTTCCGTCGCGGCCTTCTGAATCCTCTTCTTCTTCTCCTTTTTGAAATTTCTGATTGTAGAGGGATAGTGGAATCCGGAAGAAGGCGTCGAAGAAGAAGTGATGTTAGTGTAACACGCACAAAAGGCGCAAATTGGAAGAAAAAACGACAGTGGGGGGGTCCATGGCGAAAAATGGGGCGAGACTTTTCACCCGGTCGTAATTCTGTACAAAAACATGTTGAAAGAGAGATATTTGGAAATATTTGAATTCAAATTGAAGATAAAACCGGAACCATGACGAATTCTAAAGCTTAAACGGAATTCACTTGAGGGGAGGTCGAAGTTTGCTGATCCACCAATTAGCTCTATTCAGGATTTCTTTGTACTGATCTTTCCACTTCCAAGTTTCAAAGTACAAGCTGTTTCAAGAACTGTTTCAAGGCTAGAAAGCTATAGTTCGTCAGAAAAATGATTGGAATCCCATTCCAAAATTAGCATCACCCACACGTGTCTGTCCCCCGAAAAAGTCATAAGTTTTGAACATAAAAACTCTCTTTCCCTAGAAAGGAGCCCGAGACATTTTTATTTGTCGGACTGCGCATCTCTTGATTAAAAACAAGACAGTCGTTGGGAAACAGATAAGAATCAAAGTTTAACTACTGGTTCTTGAAACTTTTCCTTAAAAACATCAACATTATGGCTCATGGCTTCTCTGGATGGACAAAGATTTATTGTTATATTTTTCGGGGTGACATACTTAAAAATTTTGTTGCAAATCTTTGGGAAAATATAGGGTTATAGAAGAAAATCTAAAAATAACTGGTGTCCAAAGTTTTCATACCAATTCCTAATATAAAACTTGGAAACAGAACACACATATCAAAATTAGCATATGACAAGTCTCTTAATCTGATAAGGATTTTATGTTTTTATTGAAAAAAAATTTTGTTTTCCAAATCTTATCAGTTTTTATCAACTCCGAACCGCTCAGTAGAAAATTATAATCTACTGTTTTTAAGCTTTGGATTCTGAACACAAGAGCGGAATGGGAGAAATTTCTGGAAAATTCAAGACATGCACTCTCTTTTTTTCTCTCTCGATCAAGGAATCGGCAGAAACTGAAAATAATATGTGTCGAAATCCCATTTTTATTTATTCTTGGTATATCAGAAACCTTGAAAGTTGCCGATTTGATGTGAGCATTGCTTTTTTCGGAGCATGGGCCGTATCAAGCTGATAGTTTTATTTGAAAATCAGGTTTCCCTTCCAATTTTGGCTGAGGGTTCATTCCATTCGCATGAAAAATGTGAAAATTCTATCGAAATTAGTGAGCTATACATTGAGAACTTCTCAATTTGCAAAATATCAACTCATTTCATTTTTGTACAGTCCAACAGGAGGAGAAAAGAGACTGTCTCAAATTGTAGTATGGCTTTGAAATTCTTATCCCCTATTCCGTGTTATTGTAAGTATTCAAAGTTTTTCGTAGTATTTAGATCATCACGTAATTTTTTTTCGAAATGGATATTTTCAGAAACATTCAAATCATACAAATGACAGAATTGGTTATTTAAATGGGTTTCAAATCAGAATCGTCATTTGATAGTATTTGGAATTTGTATGAAATCACAATCTGTGTAAAGCTTCAACATGAATTTATGTTCGTTTGACTTGCTATACGAATTCTTCGTTCTGACATTTCCATTTTTTCTTTGATGCTTTCTTCCGAAGGAAAAAAATGCGTAGTACTGTCCTTGTGACAAGGAAAAAACTAGAGGGGGTGGTTTTCGATATCCAGCGAAAAAAGTACCCATTAAAACGAGCCATCTGGGAGTGATGCTGTCCGATAAAAGAAGTATCATTACGAATGTAGTTCCTACGCGCTATGGCTTTTTACAAGTTTCCGACGTGCTCAATTCAAATGTGAAGTTTTCGTCTGTGGAATGCACCAGATGGTTTAAGGGTGTTTCAACTGAAAAACAAACATCAGAATGGGTGGTTTGAATGGGACACCCAACTGACATCATGATGGTTTTTTCTGGTATACATGGGTTGCGTCGAAAGCAATGAATTTGAAAGTTCGAATGTAGAAAATGTTGGGGGACATGAATAAAATAATTTTCTTGAAATTTTGTAAGCAGTAATACCGTGAAGGAATAAAAGTACTGAGAGCGCGTTTACGGTGACGATGACTGAAGATACTGTAAACGCTCTATACCACCCCACATTTGAACGTCAAGAGAATTGATTTTAATTTGTATAAGAAATGTTAATAATCGTTCAAACTATAAAAGTGCTAGTCATATATTTTCAAACATATTATCAGTTCACAGATTTGGAATATACAAACGCTTTTGGAGATAATTGAGTTTAAACTTGACAGTGGGCGGCATTCTATCACAGGTGTTACGTTTTGTGTCACAATACGAAATTACAAAACAAAGCACAGAACAATTCCGGAGCTTTTTCTTTTTCCACAAACATCAAATTTCAAAATAAACAGATGAAAAACTCAACCATACAGGAACAGGGGACTCTATCAAGTCATAAACATGACAAAGGAATATTTCAATTCTCGTTTCTGTTTTTCCGATCCTTCCTTCCACATTTTCGAACCATCCTTCCAGATTCATCACAGTCAATCAACCATTTTTGATTGACTTTTTAGTGAAGCAAAGATAGACAGGAGTTTTATGTTAAACGGAACTTGAGAACTCATTCATTTTAGAGTGGAATTTATCTTTTTGAAATGTGATGTACGGAAGTCTATTAATTTTCTTAGAAATCAAAATTCAAATTGAAAGAATAAAAATAAATGGAATCGCAAAGTAGTTATCTCAGCAAATTTTCACGGCATTTTTTAAATGTTTTTTTTAATTTTTTTTTCAGAAACCAAATGAAGTTTTTTTTAATTGATTTCTTTAAATTTAGTGTATTTAATACACCTTCGGCAGGATGTATCCGAAATTTGAATGTATTCAAATTCGTTATCATATTGACATTATCACACATATGTTTTTTGCGTTTTTTTATCATTTCATTTTGTATACTTCCTACCTAGGTGTTCAACCATATTGGATATTATACTGCCTCGCAGACAAGACCTCAATTCTCCTTTTGGTTGTAACAATGTCGTATCTATATATCATCATTTTTGCGTTCAAAACTTGCAATAATTGTCTATGTTATCAGTTTAACACCATTTATTACAAATATTACAACCAAAGTCCCTCCAAACTCACTCGTGTTCGGAATTTTTCTTTTGTTTTGTTAAACAATAATTGAGGTTCATCGTTTTTGATTGATCTATAAGAAAAACTGTTGAATATGCGTTGTAGCAATATTGTTTTTCGTTGCGTTGTTCAATTTCAATCAGGTCTGTTCGAAAGTTTTCGGGATCAATTTTTTTGTTTTTTCAGTGAATTACAAAATATGGTGGTTTTAACAAAAAAGCATTAAAATATTATGTTGATAAGAAAGTTTCTTTCTTTTTTGGCAAAACTTTTGATCAAATTTTTCTCAATGCGGAGGGAGCTAGATCAATGAAAGTAACGTCCATTAGCATCAATAGTTGTCTGGCAACGCTCCGGTAATTTCTTGATTCCATCGGCCCAGAACGAGGAGGGCTGCGATTGAAATAGTGGGACTACTCCTTTTTTGTGCCATTTTTTCACTTAAAGTATTCACTATCAAGATGACGTTTAAGAGCTTCAAAATATTACTTTTCCTGAAGGGCAAGGTCCGGAGAATACGATGAGTGCAAAATAACAATTCAGCCAAAGGTCATGAATTTATGGCTGATCCCTCTATTCACAAGAGATCTCGCATTGCCGCACTGGAAGCAAACTTTGGTTTTTTCTCCTCTTTTGATTAGACTGTCAAGTTTATATTTTCTAATTATGAACTACACAAGGTGGCAGTTATAGTGGTACCTTCAACTAAAACTTCCCAGTGTCCATTACTTTGACCGACCATCAAACTCATAGCATACCTATTTTTAAGGAAAATTTAGGTTCTTGGACGTCCAGAGATAGCTATTTCTTGGCAATCAACTGACCCTTCCGCACATTGACAGAGTAACTTACGCACTTATCATCTACTGTAATGACATCATCCAGCCATTTGAACGTGCGAAGAAATGATAGGTGAAACATACCCATGTCTAAATGACGAAACATATTGTAGTCCAGAAAAACACGGTGTACGAATCAACCCAGATTTTGACTATGCCAAGAGACTTCGATCCGGTCACAATACTTGGTTGACTAGAGGACAATGCCTGTGACATTTTACGAATGGTTTGAAATGGATGCACCTCCCCGGTTTTTAGCAATTGACGAAGATCCGACTCACTAGTCCGTTGGCATCTTCCAAACTGAACTCTCTTGTTTGGAATTCCTCAAACAAAAGGCAAATTGTAGGCGATGACGGAACATGTCCCTTATATACATCCACAATTTTCTTCCAAATACCAACTGTTTGAAGACCGAATAGAAATAAAAATATAATCAAGTTGCCAATGTGCACTCGGATAAGGACTAAAAGAATCGCCATTTCTTCAAAACGAAGAGAGATAAGAATTTGAAAATCTAGGATCTAATAGCCACTGAACACAGCTCTCTAACAAAAAAAATTTGGCCCGCTAAACCACTTGGAGCGCCAGATATCGATTCTCAAAAACAACTCTGCCAAAAAGAAAGAAACTTTCTTATCAACCTAATAAATTCAAAAATTTTCTGTAAACTTTCCCAAAAATCCGAAAACCTTAACAAAAAAGAAACTTTTTTGGGTTTCTTTGGTCACAACTTCCGTCAAAAAGTTGTATTTAGATTTTTTTTCTAGCCTAAAACCGAAAAGTTTTCTTTTCCGTTTTTTGGAATCGAAAAACCAAGATTCCAATTTTTAGGAAGAAGTTTTTGCTCGGCCCTGATTCCAGTGGCCTCATTCAGTTGATTTAACAAAACCCCAACTCAGCTCTTCAATCTCACTTATAGGCTTTTACTCAAATTAACTACAACATTCTTTTTCGCGTCTCATGACACTTCGCTCGTGAGAAATCTGAGTTCTTTTCTTTTTAGGAGAAGCTCTGTCTCTTGCCTTGCTCCGACTCTGTTATTCTTCTTCAAAAGGCTATCTCCCCTTCTCTTAGGGTCTTTGGTAGAGCTCAACAGACTCATACCTTTCAATTATTTTTTCATTTTCAATTTGTACCTTTTCTTCTGCTCAAAACGGCTCCGTTTGTCAAAGAAAATCGGTTGTCATAGTGATTCTTACTACCCGTCAGGGTCTATCCGTTGTCTATTTCTTACTCATGTACGTTATTACTATTTTTTGAAGCTATGTTCAACTCCAGAAATCTTCACTCAATGAATCCAAATGTCCGACAAGTGAGTTTATCATAATTTTGAATGAGTTTTGAATGAAAAAAAAAATTCTGATTTGCACTAATTGTGAATGATAAAAAATTACCGTATTTCCTCTAATATAGGCTCACCTCTAATAGAAGCACACCCTCGGGCGTGCTGAAAAACATAAAAGCCCACCCTCTAACAGAAATTTGTCCAGCTCAGTTAGTGCAGCGTACAATGCAGGTCGTCTACTCGGTTATTGAAAAAATGTTCTTTCTATTTGAAAAATTTTCTGGGGATTTCAGCTGTTGGTATTTTCCTGAGAAGGAAATTGAAAAATAGAAGCCCATGGGTTTCAATTAAAGGGAATATGGTATTTTTATTCCTTTACGGCTGTCTCAAAGTTTCATTTTCAACAAATCAAAAAATAATTTTCTGCACTCTCTCTGCGTCTGAAACTTTGAACTGCGAGCGTTTTGTTCAGCGCAGAGCGGCGCCAATTTTCAAAGTGTACTTGTTTTGCTTAGTCTTTTTTTTTCGTGATTCGATAAGGTTTCAGAGCGAAACAACAAAAAATTAAGACAAAAATCACAATAAAAATTAACCTCTAGATTTTCAACTTTTACATAATCACACAAAATTTGTCCGATTTTCTAGGTAAAAGAAACTGCTAAACGTCAACTGAATGTGAAAATTGGAATCAATGACCTCACAATTCTTCATCTTGATGATTACATTCGCGAAGCTTTGCTAGATCCAATTTACGGCTTTTCGACAAGTAAATGGTTTTTGAGGTGAGTTCGACTTCATTTTTTAAAGAAAATTAATTTTTAGAAAGAACAGATTGCCGAATAATTGTAAGGAGGAAATTAAAAAATTGATAAAGACTCATATTTTCGAGGAAGGTGGAAGTGTTATTCGTAAAGTGAGTACAAAAAAGCGAATATTTTATTTGGTCCCCATTTTCAGGCAATATGTACCATTCTTAGTTTATATGAAGATGACGAACGCTTGAGCGTATTGGTAATTTTACAGCGTTGATTTAATCAAACTGCAGGAAATTTCAGGTTGAAAACTACATGCAACTATTTTACGCCAAATCTGGCTTTACAGCTGCTCCGTGTCACCAGTTTTCCACTGAACAACATGTTGGATTGAAATTGATTGCAACTAAAAAATGGTGAGTAAGTGGTTTTATTAAACTGGCCGCAATAGGATTTAGGGAGAAAGATGAGATTCTGAATTCACACAACTTCAATGTCCTGTTCGATACTATTCCGTTAGAACTCAACGAGTACTCCGTGTCAAAACCATCAGTTGGGTAAGGTTTCTGGAGTATTCGGAAACATTCAAAACAAAAATTCAGGCAAAAAGAACACATTTGGTTAGGGCCCAGTTCAATCGTGAATCATAGCTGTGAACCCAATACAGTTTACGAACATTATGAAAAGAAAACTTTGTTGAAAGTGATAAGACCAATTGAAATCGGAGAGGAAATCACCGTAAACTACAGTAAAAAATATTTTTTCAAGTGCGAATGCGACACGTGCAAGTGAGTTTGAATTTTTTCCAGAATTTCAAATTTTTCAAAAAATTTGAACAGAAAAAAACCAGAAGAATCGACAGTGAAAAGGAAACGAGGGGATTCTACCATTACTTCTAAAAATCTGATCATGAGAAAAACGCGAGCTTCGAATACTAGGTGAGGTGCAGAATTAGTATTTGGTTTCACCAGAATATATTCCAGATTGAGCCAAGAAGATAGCGACAAAGAATTGGCAAAGACGTATGCATTATACAAAAAATGTGAGGCTCTTTTCAAACCAGGGGTCCTGAGAATTGATCAATTTCAGTGTTCGACTCTGTTGATTATCCACCCGAGTTGAAGGAAAGTGCAGGATCAGCAGAACATTCCTTCACTCAACGATTTTTGGTGATTTTTATAATCAGATCAAAACTATTGAAAATTTTCAGATGATCGAAACGCCGCAAATTGACCAACATTTGAGAACTTTTGCTAAGCAAACCAAAGACATGGTTCATCGAGTGCAAGTCAGTCGGAACTTGCTCTCCAAGGACGAGGTCAATGAAAACCTAACAAGAAATTGTTGGAAAAATGCTGAAAAGCTGATTCAAATTGGGACGGTTTTCATGACAGGTCCTGAAAAATTGGAAGCCAATGATGTGGACGACTTGAAAAGTATGGCGAAGTTTATTGAAGTCTCATCAAGCATCATGAATCTCTGAAAGAACTTCAAAACAGGAAAACTGAGGAAAAAGAACTGATCCGGAGAAAGGAGCAAGTGAGAGAACACTTTTTGGGATACGAGGAAGCAGAGACAAATCCGCCCCAAGATCGAGTTGCGAACCTTGTAATGCAAAGAGTTATTTCCCAAATGTCTTCTCAGTTTCGTCCGATAATTACTCGAATTTTTGACGGTCCCACTCAACAAACCGCAATTTCAAACGGAGAAACATCAAGAAAAAGAAAATCAGCAGACAGAAGAAGAAGAAGAACAGCAAAACGAGAAAAGTCGCCAACAGGAATACCGGAAATATCTGATGTTTTTCTACGAGTCCATTATACAAATCGTCCGATTCAAACTCTTCATGTCAAGGAGATTGGTGACAACGGTCAACAAAATGGGAAATCAATCAACAGTCGTAAGAGCTGGGTTTTGTTTTCCATTGAATTATTCTTTTTCAGAAAACCAGCAAAAATTGGAGGAAGTCGTCAATTTCTTTCTCAACAACCCTACAATAACGCAATAATCGGAAACTGTGGAGCCGTTAAGAAATTTTATATTTCATTTTCTATTCCCTAATTGATATTGTTTAGTTCTATCCGTCCAATATGTGTTTCAATTTCATTTAGTTTTAAGTGTCCACTTTGAACATTGTTTTTAACTTTTTTCCCACAAGAAATTTATTAAAGCCATATTCTCAAGCTGAACATGAATTAAAGTAAAAAACCAAGAAAGTGACATCTTCCTTCAACTGCAAAAATAATAAGATGAAATTCGTGAAAAACGTAGGAGAACACAAAAAAAACAGAAGGCCGGGCATTTTAGTTCATACTATCGTAGGAAATTACAATAGTGTACAGTGCGCGTCATAATGATAGCACCACCTCATTTTTAGAGGTTTTCAGAAAAACAAAAAATTTTGGAGAAAAACAACTAATGCCATTCGATTCAGCATTCCAAAAAACTTATGTGTCCCCTGAATCAGGTGCCAGTCAAGTGTTTTAGGACTACAGTAACCAAAAGTCTGTCTGCACACCGCGTCATAATGATAGCACCACCCTGGAAAATGGAAAAACTCATGTTTATTTGAGAAATAAATTGAGAATGTTTTGTTGGAATACGGTAAAATAGTCTTAAAACAGTCTATTTTGACAGTCTGCACAAAAATTGATGTCTCTATTTAAGTTTTAGAAAAACTTATATTCAGACATTTTCACCATTTTTTGGGTTCCTGGAATAAATCTTGAATAACTTTGCTCCTGAGTGACATTTTGAGCTGAAATTTATAGGAGATATTTGTTTTGTGGTCTGGAGTGTCTACTAGTTGATTTCATGCTATTCTGAGTCGTCGTTTGTAATTTAAGGAAACCCGAAATATCGAAAACGAGCTTTGAATTTCGGTGGTTCTGATTTTCTTTTAAAAACTGAATTTGCCTAGTAAACATTTTTTTCTATACGAAATCATAAGGTCAAAAACGATTTTGGTAACTTAGAAGATCTTTTGAACGTTTTACACTTCTTTGAAAATTTTTCATTTTTGGCATATTTTTTAGTTCACAACAATTGCAACATGACAACGAGCATTCTCAAGATATCTCCTATAAATTTCAGCTCAAAATGTCACCCAGGATCAAAGTTATTCAAGATTATTTCCAGGAACCCAAAAAATGATGAAAATGTTCTACAACTTGAATAGAGACATTAAATTTTGTGCAGACTGTCAAAATAGACTGATTTAAGACTATTTTACCGTATTCCAACAAAACATTCTCAATTTATTTCTCAACTAAACATGAGTTTCCATTTTCCAAGGTGGTGCTATCATTATGACGCGGTGTGCAGAGAGACTTTTGGTTACTGTAGCCCTAAAACATTTGACTGGCACTTGATTCAGGGGACACATAAGTTTTTTGGGATGCTGAAACGAATGGCATTAGCTGTTTTTCTCCAAAATTGTTTTTCTGAAAACCTCAAAAAATGAGGTGGTGCTATCATTATGACGCGCACTGTATAAAAACAGGGGTTTCAACGAATACCCTCAATTATTTTAAGGGCCGGTGTGAGATTTGAAGTTAGAGTGAACCACGTAGGCATCGCGTTGGGGAATTCTTCCGGCAATTTCGTCGTCATAGAACATTATGACGCGTTGTTGTCCCACAAACTGCCGAACGACGGCAAGCTGCTCTTCGGAATGGAACTGTTTGACACAATGATCTTCGATGCGCTGAAAAATGCACTGTATTTTTAATCTGAACGAGATCGAAATATTGAACTTACGAGTGCCCACAAACTGGTAACGTCGTCGCACATTAATCGATTGCGCATTGAGCAAACCACATGCCGAACTGAAACAATTGTTCTTTGATGAAGTATTCTCTCAATTCTCTCACCATTAGCAGTTTCTTCAACTGTAAAAAACATTGGATCGCGATGATTCTTCTTCTCACTGTACCCATTGGTTGGCCAGAGCTCAAGTTCAACACGTTTCTGGAAACATAAATTGTTGATTTAGTTTGCCTTTACAGAAAATACACTTACCGATGCCGACGGAGCTGGCTGAGCTGCTTGAATAGCAAGTCTTGGTGTTGGAAGAGCAATAGCTGGTGGAAGCGGTGTTTGGGAAAAAGCAAGTGTTCCCTGAGAGGCTGCCTGAACCATCATTTGCGGCATTTGCATTTGCTGTTTGAGATGGTGCAACCTTCCATGAGGCATTCCCGGCATTGGTGTCATAGGTGTGAGTGGCATCGCTGACATTGGTGTCACTGCTCTCATCTTCATCAGCTCGACTTGTGCTTGATGTTCCACGATCTGCTTGATTTCCTCTTTTAGATGTTGAGGTAGATCTGGCATGAGGATCTCCCAGATTTTTGCTTTTGATCCTGAGTGAAGAGATTTCCACACATTTTATAATTATGGAATGCTTCAATGTGTCGAGTTGCGTCTTCAAGTCGAGCCTTCTTCTGATTTTCTTTCTCAAAACGGTCTCTAGCTGCAGCATCTTCCTTTGCTTTCCGACCGCGTTCCTCACGTTCTCTACGTCGAGCCTCTGCTTCAGCCTTCTTCTTTCCTTCTGCTTCAGCCTTCTTCTTTCTTTCGACTTCAACTTGTTCTTGATGTTTCGCGATCTGCTTGAGTTCCTCTTTTTGATGTTGAGGAAGATCGGGCATAAGACTGATCTCACTAATATTCTGTTTTTGATATTCTGTAAAACAATTCCCAAGAACTGTCTGATTGCGGAATACCTCGATGTATTGAGCCGCGACTTCAAGACGAGCGTTTCTCTTTCCTTTTTGCTCAATACGTTTTAGATCTTCAGGAGTTTGGCGTTGAGCCATCATTGCTACGACTCCTCCAGCGATTCTTTCTAGAAGTTTTTGACGGAGTAGCAGTTCGTTCAAATCTTCACTAAGTTCAGCAGGAAGATCCATAGTTGAGAACTCGTGGAGCATGTCCGCATGCTGGTCAGTGAAAAAAGCTCCATTAAGAGCAAACGAGTGCAATGTTCTGATGGCTTGTTTGACCTCATCAGTTTTTCTGGCTCGTTCCAGAGCCAGAGTTTCCCCCTTCAATTTCTTTGTACGAGCCCTTCCCTCCCTGCGGCGAGCGTTCGCAATCTCTCGCTTCTCTGCTTTCAATCGTGCCGCCGCTTCGCAGATCGAAGCCTTTCCTGTTCGGCGGCCACGTTCCTTCGGACGGTGTCAAACTGAGGAATTTGAAGATCGGTCCTCATGTCCAAATTCGGAGCTGCCCATGTCATCGGAAGCTGATGGTTCAGCAGATGATGGAGCAGATGGAGATGATGATGCTGGTGAGAATGGGAGGCTGGAGGTTGCGCTCCGACGGGCCATCCAAACACACTTGTGTTGTTTTCCATTGTCTCGAACATGAACGGCATGTAAACTGACAATAATCTTCTCACGTGGGTCATGGAAGAATAAAATATTAGGTTGGCAAGTTTGACTCCGGACACGGTTTTGTTTGCTTATAACTTGAAGGAATCAAAACTGTTTTTATACTGTTTATGTTCATTCGAAAGAACGTTTTATGACGAGTTGTTTGATATACTGTATGCCAGGTTTTAATTAAAAATTAACAGAAAAAATCCTTTCTGCAATACTCTACCAAAATTTACTGATGCACGCTTGTTTGTGGTACGGCTTCAAATAGTACAAAAACCATTCCGCACAATGTCGAAAGTTTTTGATGAGGAATTACTATTTTTCACGCAGGTCTTTGAATGGTTCAAATAATTCAAAAACAGTGATGAAAGCCTTGAGGACAACGAGAGTGGATTTCCTCCTTGAATTGTCGATCATGATGTTCTAAACATACCATTGAGTCGAAACCGCGTCAAACGACTTGCGAACTTGCTCAGCAGTTTGGATGCTTTAATGGCACATTTTTAAATCACTTGCACTCAATCGGCAAAACGAACCACTGTGGAAAATGGACGCCACACGAACTGGTTCGGTGTTGGTGAACATTCGAAACTGACCCCAATACCGGATTTTCATCGAAAAAGGTGATGCTTTGTGTTTGGTGGTACAGTAAAGGTCCTGTTTGTTTTGAGCTTCTGGATTCTTGTCAGAAAGACACGGCAGATCTCTCTCGACATTTGCTTAATTATGTTAGTAAAGCACTTCGTCGGAAAGGAATTGATACGATGTCCGCAAAGTTTCTGCATGACAACGCCCAACCGCATGTTGTAAAGATCACATCGCAGAAAATCGCAGAGCTGGGCTGAGAAGTCGCATGATGAAGCACTCTTTGGCTGAGAAATACTCCAAAAACATCGATGAGATCAAAAAATGGGTGGACAAGTATTTCGCATCGCAGCCGGCGGAGTTCTTCTATAGAAGCATCCATTCTATGCGTGACCGTTGGCATGAAGTTGTGAATAATAATGGTGAATACAATTTGGATGGAGGTTACACGGTTTCAAATTTACAATAAATTTTTTGTGTATAAAAAAGTCCGGAGTCAAACTTGCCAACCTAATACTACCGTAAAGCCTGTATTAAAAAAGTCGGTTTTTCTATTGTGCCTACAAAAAACATTTTTTCCTCTTCACTATACAACTTAACATGACAATGGATAGATGTGAAAAAACTTTTTTTGAAATACATAATAACCCTAAAATAAAACTTATCATGTTTCTAACTGTTTTTAAACTCCAGTACCACTTCCTCACCTTTAAATCCAAGAATCTGTTGACCAAGACGAATTGGAAACGATCGAAATTGGAGTTTCTGTAAGAACTTGAAATAAAAAAAATTAAAACATCGAATTTTAGTAAACATGTAAAGAATAAAGCGTTTTGAGTACCAAACCTTTGAATCGAAGAATAGCGATCTACGAATCTCGACAGATAGTTTGCAGATGACCAAACTCGAAATTTGGTGATTCTGTAAGAATGTGGAAAATAGAAAATCGACAATGAATTTTCGTAGACTGTCATACCTTTGAATCCGAAGAAACAACGATTCGACGAGCAAAAACGAATCGACCAGCTTTTTTCTTAATGAAAACTGCAGCCGACGGGGACGATGATTATCCAAGTTCTGAAACTGATTAAAATAAACAAGGAATTCGCAAAAACAAATAGAACTAACAAATTCAAAGAGTAACGAAAGGAATCTTTTCAAAATTGGAAATGAAAAAAAAAATAAAAAAGAAGGAATGTTCAACAATCTACCATTAAATCTGAAAAAAATGAAGCAAGGACCAAATTTCGAAATCTAGGAGGAGACATATGAAGGAATGAAAAAATACTGCCTGTTTTGAAATGTAAAAATGTTTATATTATTATAGAACTTAACTTCAAACCTATTATTCACATCAGATTAAAACTCTACAAATAAAAAATTTGAATTTGTAGCCAAAACTACAGAAATCTTGAGCACATTGTAAATTTTGAAACAAGAAAAGCGAGAAACATGGCATCGAGAATTCGTACCGAAATTGATTCTCTAAAGCTTTGATCATATTCATCCTAGATAAAGCAACTTGTTTTGGTGAAACTCTGGTTAAATTTCAAAATTCATTTGGTCTGATATTTTCCAGGGCCAAATCAATCTATGAGCATGCAATTTATGAAGAACCAACACGAAAGCACCCACTGAAGTTGTATTCTACAGAAAACGCGTCTTAATACACCTTCTCTGAGAGAATTGAGATCGGGTCAAGAGGCGATGGCAATGGAAAAAATCAAAATGGTCCTAGGGGTCTGATATTGTATGCGGTGGGTATAGGGGCTACTCTAAGACTTGTGACCATGAATTTATAGGCCACGCCCCTTCATGGACGCGAAAAACTACCGTAACCCCAAAAATTTATTTTTGTTGTGGTCATGCAGATAAAATGTTGTCCAATAGGTCAGTCACATCAGTGCTTTTATTGAAAAATTCGAAAAAATTTGGGGCGGTCATGATTCAGTCTGACTTATTTTAATGCATCATTTGCACTGACTAATATATAGTCTATTTTGGTTGCATACGCACAAGTTTTCATCAAAACAAGGAAAGCACGAAAACAATAGAAATCACATTTTTACCAAGGAAAGAAACGTCAATAACCAATTAATGGTTTAGTAATTAAGGACACTATAGAATGGTTCATTTTTTGAATTAGATCCCACCAACACATCCTAATTGTTTCTCATGACATATGACCGACGTCATAACAGCTGCGTATAAGAAACAAGCATAGGACTTCGACAGTTTCAACTGGAGACGCAGAGTATCAGACTAAGGAAACAGGAATGATTTAAAATACCAGAAGGTCCGATATTTAGTGGGAAGTGTCAGTTCGAAAGAAGCGAATTGTCTTAACCAGCATGTCTAACATAAAACTTTCTTTGTGTCGCTGGGAAAAAAAGTCAATATCGAGGAAACATCTGCATAAATTACTGTTTTTTTAAAGATTTCATCGAAAAGTGTGCTCAAAAACTATTCAACCAGTGATAATTGATCTAGAGGAAGATAATTCTTTTCAATCACCATAATGAATGAAACAGATATTGATGAAAAACAAGACAAGAGTTTGAAACCTAAACGTGTGAAACAAAAGGAGATGATGATTCGTTCCATACGCGCCATGCCGCCGACCCTCATACTGTTGAACACACAAGGCCGCGGCCACGAACGGCCTTGGGTTTTTGGATAGGGACATCTCTTCTGCACGGAAAAAAGAGAGACGTCTGAGAAAATAGGAAAAATTGAGATTTCTGTCTGCATGTTGATGTACAGTGCTGGCCAAGATCCTATACGAAGAAGACAATATTAGTTTGAAATGGTAAATTTTGGGTGTGTAAAAATTACATAACACTTTCCCGTTCGGTTTGAAAATTTCTTTGATTTTCATCCAAGTGAGAAATCTGTTTTTGCAGTTCACACGCTTTTATCACTTGCCAAAAAGATAAAATTCGTGAAACAGTGGTGCCTTTTTTCATTAAATACCTGAATTTTCTAACCGGACGGACAAGTAATACTTACTCTTTCAGAAACCTCAAATTCATTTTCAACTGGAATGATCATTCGAGGAATGGAATTTCGGTTAGCACTGCAATCTCAAAAAATTGTAAAATTATAGCACAATTAAGATTTATGTGTATCATAATAAAATAAATTAACTATTCATTAAGTATGTATTGGAGTTGTGGCGTGAACTAACATCAAGTTAGACATCGTAGAGAGAAAAACCGGATGCATCATAGTTCTGGGACTGTAGCCATGGCATAGAATCTCCACAAGTGCAGTCTTCGGGTGTCCAAGAACAAAAGTGATTGGAATCTCCCGTATCATCATCTTCTGGAAGAGTGACCAAATAATTATCGTTCTGAAAATTAACAATAAATTTAATATGCTGCATTAGTTGTTTTTACTTACTTCCTCTAGTCCAGAAACGTCCTCTCCATCTGAAAGTTCCCGAATTCTTAGCCTCATAGGAATTGTCGCATCGTGCAACGCTCTCGCGACTTTTTTCGGAATTTCCGTGTCATCTTCTATCCGCGTTCGTTTTAAAGCACTCGTTGGTGTCCTTATGTGATTTTCATCGAAGATTCTGTGCGGATTCATGCGATTAGGAGTGCTTGGTGGGAAGAATGAATAGTAGGCGTGTGTATTGACGTCTTCTTTCTAAAAAAGAAATGATAATTATGTGCTCGGTTAAAAAAACCGACCTGAGCCAACGAATCAACATCGGTAGATCTGTGGTCGACTTCAAAATGTGCTGTTGATGAAAAGAAGTCTTCTGGCTTCGATCGAGTTTCTTGAACATTACAATAGTAATTGCACTGCTGCAACAGTAATTGCATGTGAGTTTGTTCTGGATTGGACGGCATCAATTCTGTGTGTTGAAGTGGTTTCGAAACATGTTCTTGTGAATGCCATCCGGAAGTTTCTGGTTCTTGAGAACCGGATTGCAGAAATTGTGCATGATTATCGAAAAGAGGTGCTCTATTCAATCCGTAGGGTGCTGTCGGCACATTTGAGAAGATTGTCGTTCCTGTCGCTTCTGTTGCATACGTCGCCATGAGTTGTCCTTGTCTCGCTATAATTTCCTCAATCTGTTTGTATTGAATCACGGATAGTGTCGGCATGTGGAAGATTTCCTCGACTTTTTGTTTCTGCTCTTCAGTAAGTAATTGACCAGAAAGTGTAAACTTAAGGTATTGAGTGATGTGTTGAGACGCTTCAACAGAACAAATTTGGTTTTGAGTGAATTCCTGAGCATTTTCCTGTGGTTGGTTTCCGTTGGTCGGCAGCATACTCGAAGCGATTGATAACTGAAAATAAATCTTAAAAACTTCAAGCGTTGCGGATAATGATGAGTTGGAGATAAAAGAAGAATATGTAAAAGGTGAAACAAGAGCATTCAAGGGCTTGGTTGTGAAAGTTTTTTAAAAAGTTTTTTAAAAATTTAATTGGAAAAACAGTAAGAAGAATGCAACAAAAGAAAAATCACTCCGCCAACCTCGTTCAGAAGAGAAATTTGAAAAGGAGGTGTTCGCGCTAAACAACGACTGAGCGAGAGGGTGAGAGACGTAGACACAACGAAAGGAGGTGTTCGCGCTAAACAACGACTGAGCGAGAGGGTGAGAGACGTAGACACAACGAAAGGAGGTGTTCGCGCTAAACAACAACTGAGCGAGAGGGTGAGAGACGTAGACACAACGACAGGTGTGCGCGGCCGAGAAAAGTTGCATGTTCGGCCACCTCTCATTGTGCTGTTATAGTGTCGCTGTGTTGTAGGGGGCAAATGATTCGGAGGGTACAACAATTCGGAAGTACAACGGGGTACAAAGCAATTTAGGGGTAAAAATCTTCAATTCGGGGGTACAAAATACCTGAAAAATGGTTAGTTTTGTACCCCCGAATTGAGAATTACAGGGTGACAAGAATTTTTGAGTCCGCAGCGTGCTATAATCCTTAATTTATCCGGAAATGGTATGCCTCATGCCGATGTTTCTATATTGCTCATATTTCACCTAAATTCGGTACCTAAGTGTTACATAAAGGAGGGATATCTGGTAAATCTGGACATAAAAGGAAGCAGTTGGCTGGCAAAAACCAACTTTTCTAGAAGATCAGAAAGAGGATCAGTCGCGAAAATCAGAAATTTACGATAAAACTCGCGAGAGATCTGGGAACAAATCGTGAAACTGTTCGAAACATAAGAAAAAACTGTCTCCTTTCATGCTCTTGTAGTATCAAAAAACTCATTCTCTTAATGAGAAATTCAAACCGAGCAGGTATGAAAAATCACTTCGCCACAGTCAATGGGCCGCGGATTACGAAATTTCAAAAGTGGAGATCCTGGAAGGAGCGCCAAACAGTCAAAGTGATCGTCAACGGTTGTTAAACAATATGATTGATTTTCCTATGAATATTACTAATAAAAAATGCCATTAGCCTGCTTCTGGAATTCTATGGGCCGCCGTCACATCAACTGGAAAGAGTAAGTTAATTTTTGTTGAAAAATGACAAATAAATCAATGAAAATTCTCATTGGGGAGACAGTATCAAGACAAAACTGTTTTGATGGCTCTTTTCCTCCTTTCTGGTGTTTACTGGACATTCCAACAAGACTGGGCCTTGGCCTATGACGCAAAATCATCAAATGCGCGATGCCAAGCTGAAATTCCAGAAATCTCCACCAAGGATTGAGGCCCTGTAACTCCCCTGATCTTTACCGCTTGATAATTATTTTTGACCCGTTTTAAAGCCACATATGGTTAGAAAAAATTTGAGATATGTTGAAGACTTGAAGAAAGTTAGGGTCCGAGCTTGGGCTCAAAAACCAGGCGGCCAAAATTACTAATTTTCCGAGGAATCTTAAGGCCGCCCGTCCCTGGAGAGGAGGCCAATTCATGAACTTTTTTTGAAATTATAGTCCCAGTCATATAGTTGTTGTTCAATGAAAAAATTGTTAACCAATTCTTGTTTGAAAGTTTTTATGACCGGTTAAGTGAGTTCCTATAATTTCTTGTCACCCTGTATGTACCCCTAAATCACTTTGAACCTCTTTTACCCCGAATTGTTGTACTCTCCAAATTTTTTGTCGTTGTAGTGACAGAAAAAAAAATTTTTCTTCAAAATCCGGAAAACGGAAACGCTAACAGAAACGATAATTATTTTATGAAAATCAAATACGAAAACTGAATGTTAACACTTTTCCTGAAATAAGAAATAACAAAAATTGAAAAAAAAACAGTGCTGTTTCGATGATCGAAAGCTAGCACTGCATGTTTTTTTTCACTATTTTCAATATTCACAATCGTTCAAATTGATCTCATTTACAAAAGGTTCATTCAATCACAGGTAAAATGCTACCCCAAATACAAACAGATTGCTGAAAAAGCCGTTTGAAAGTCAATGTCATCAGCTGAACTGGCAGGCTAATCAACAAATAAATAAATAAAAATAGTATATGAAAAACAAGTGTAATCGAAAAATAATCTCAATTAGTTCGTTGTCCGGTGTGAGGTTTGAAGTTGGAGTGAACCACATAGGCACTGGATTGGGGTGTTTGTCCGGCACTTTCGTCGTCATAGAACATTATAACGTGTTGTTGTCCAACGAACTGCTGAACGACGGCCAGCTGCTCATCGGGATGAAACTGTTTGACACAATGGTCTTCGAGGCGCTAAAAATACATAGTATTTTAATCTGAACCATAATATTGAACTTACGAGTCCCCACAAACTGGTAACGTCGTCGCACATTAATCGATTTCGCACTAAGCATGCCACATGCCGAACTGAAAAATATTATTCTTAGATGAAGTATTTTTTCAAATCTCTCACCATTAGCAGTTCCTTCTACTGCAAAAAACATCGGATCGCGATGATTCTTCTTCTCACTGTACCCGTTTGTCGGCCAGAGCTCGAGTTCAACACGTTTCTGAAAATATAAATTGTTGTTTGAAATTGCATTTTTGTTTAAACTTACCGATGCCGACGGATCTGGCTGAGCAGCTTGAGTAGCAGGTCGTGGTGTTGGAACAACGATAGCTGGGGTACCGGTTGGGACAACAGGCTTTGGTACTGTAACAGCCTGTGGAAGAGGTGTCTGAGCAGGAGCAGGTGTTCTCTGTGGAAGTGGTTGAGGAGCTGGAGTTTGCGGCAAAGGCGTATGACCTGCTTGAGCCATCATTTGCTGCATTTGCATTTGCTGTTGGAGCAGGTGGAACTGCTGAGGATGGAAGCCAGGAGCCATCCACGCTTGCTGCTGTGCTTGTTGAGCTTGCTGATGCATCATCGCTTGAAGCATTTGTTGCTGTTGAACCTGATTCAAGAACTGTTCATGGGCAGACGGTTGCTGAGATCCTGGTTGTTGAACTCCTGGTTGCTGCGGTGCTCCGGGCGGTATGAATCCTGGTGCAATGAATCCGTGTAATCCAGCAGGCATTCCTGGCATTGGTGTCATTGGTGGCATAGGTGTCATGGCGGGAAGTGGCATCGCTGGCATTGGTGTCATAGGTGGAAGTGGCATTGGTGTCATTGCTCTCATCTTCATCAGCTCGACTTGTTCTTGATGCTTCGCAATCTGCTTGATTTCCTCTTTTTGATGTTGAGGTAGATCTGGCATGAGGTAGATCTCATTGATCTTCTGCTTCTGGTCTTCAGTGAAGCGATTTCCACGCATTGTATGGTTACGGAATGCTTCAATGTGTCGCGTCGCATCTTCAAGACGAGCTTTCTTTTGATTTTCTTGCTTAATACGTTCTCTAGCTGCAGCCTCTTCCTTTGCCTTCCGAGCGCGTTCTTCACGTTCTCTACGTCGAGCCTCTGCTTCAGCTTTCTTCTTTCTTTCTGCTTCAGCTTTAGCTTTCTTCTCAGCCTCCTTGGCAGCTGCTTGCAATCGTGCTTGTTCTTGTGCTTGTTTCAGGAGAAGTTGTTCACGCTCCCTAGCGGCGACAACTTGAGCAGCTTGGAGTGCGACCATTTGCTTCTGATTATTGACAAGAGTTTGATACTCTGCTTGTGCTTGAGCAAAGTGCAACAGGAACGCTTTTTCGTCAGTTGGTGGGAACTGCCCGCGAGATTGAAGAATTTGAAGGATCACATTCATTTCTTTGTTGGGATTGTTGTCAGCGGCAGGAGCAACAGGAACCATTGGAACCATAGACGCCGCCTGAGCTTCAGGAGCCACAGGAGGCACAGTAGCCCCAGGTGCCACTGCTTGTGGTGTAGATGGCGGTGGTGCTCTGAAAATAATAAAAAACGGTTGAATACTTCATACAAGTTAAAAAAACACTCACCTTTGAGCAGCCATCTGGGCTTGTATATGTTTAATAAGTTCCGCTTGAGCGTGAGCAACCTGTGGGCCCATTGGTCCCAGTTGAGATTGATTCAGTTGAGCTTGTGCCTGAGCGACGAGCTGCTGCGTGATCTGTGCAGTGTGCAATTGTGCAGCTTGTTGTGCAGCTTGTTGTGCAGCTAGTTGAGCAGCTTGCTGCTGTGCTGCCTGCTGCATGACCTGTTGTTTGGCAAGAGCCTGTGGATCAACTGCAGGACGTACTGGAGTATTTCCATGAACAAACTGTCCAAGTTGTGCCAAATGAGATTGCTGTTGTGCGGCAATTGAAGGTGTTGGTTGAGGGTTTGGACGAATTGGTGTGCTCTGTGGAACTTGTGACATTGCTGCATACATCTGTTGCTGTTGCTGTTGCTGTTGCTGTTGCTGTTGTTGTTGATGTTGTTGAGCAGCAAGGTATCCAGCGGCAGCCACGTTTGGAACAGCAGTGATTTTTGTAGGAGCTCCCTGAAAATTGGAAAAGATTAAAATGAGCAAGCTTATTAGAAATTTAGATTAGTGGTGAGCCACGGGAAAAAGTTAAAAGAAGCAAACGGACCAGGTGGCCTTGCAATTGATGAAGTGGCTGGGGTGGTTGGACAATGGACATTTGCTGCAAGAGATTAGTAATATATACTAATTAAAACAACATCTCGATCTCTCGTATTCTGTTACTTGTTACAACACTCGCCACCACAATAATATAAATTGAATACTCACCACATTCGCCATTTTGATCTTCTTCGGTTTTGGTGCTCCACGTGGCGTTGCAGGGTGCTTTCCTCGCGGTGCCGGCAGCTGCGGTTTGGCAAAGTGAGGTGGAGGAGGTGGTTGTGGCTTCTGTGGGACTGGAGCTCGCGCGAGGCGGGCCGACATTTTTTTTGCCGTTCCGAGTCGAACCCCATCTGAAAGGAAATGGAATCGTTGTAGGAAGCGCGGTCGGAAACGAGAGGAAGCGCATGAAAACTCACGATTTAGTCTTTTGAGCCGGGTGATGTCCTGCATAAACTTCTGTCGAACTTTCATCGGAATGACAGGGATGAAAAGATCTTCTTGTTTTGGAATAGGTGGTCGTTGCTCACGTGGCATTTTCTCAGTTGTCACACTAGTTCCCATGTCTCGCTCCGCTTCTGTAATAAAAAAGAATGAACACCTTATCAAGGTAAACACAAAAACATACCTTCCGCTTCTTCTTCTGACTCCTCAGAGTCATCAGAAGACTCTTCAACACCTTGTCGCAAGATTGATTTGGCCAGTTCCAACTGGTCCATCTTGAATTCTGGCTCTTTTTCCTTTTCTTCGTCCTCTTCTTCAACAGGCTTGGCAACATATTCAGTTGTAACACCACTAGCTACTCTGGCTTCGTGAAGTGCAATAAGCTCTTGAAGTTCTTGCGACTCACGGAGCTGTTTGGCAATTCGATGATGCTTCAAGACTCCCTTCTCATTGAGAGCAACCATTGTTCCTTGATGATATCTGTTGACGTAACTGATCATTTCTCGATTCAAGTCCTCTTCGCGAATTTTCTCAGTGTTCTCTTGATCGTCTTCAGGACCTTGTTCTTCCTCGTGCTCATCAATGTCTATGGTTTTCTCCTCGTATTGAGTTGTTGAGCATTCTCCGAGTGAGATCGTATTGTCAACTGTCATCTCCGTAAAGTCTTTGCTTTCTTCCATGTTATCTTCTTTGTTCTTTTCTTCGCTCTCATCTTTACTTTCATCGATAGTTTTCTCAACGATATGGGTCACATTTCCGGCCAGAATTGTTTCATCATGAATATTCGGGGTATCATTTGAATCTGGATCAACGGATACAGAAGTTTCACAGGTGCCAGGTTGAGGGAGAGGTTCCGTTTCCTTTGTAATATCTGCTTCTGCTGAATTAACCTGCTCGGTTTGGCCAGCCATTCCCATCTTCCCCAGTTCTTCCTTCTTCTTAGCTTCTTCCAACTCGGCTTTTTCTTGAGCAATCCTTTTGAGAGCAATCTCCTCGACACGTGCCTGTTCCGCACGACGAGCATCAATATCCTTCTGTAGAATCGCTTTCTGCTGAATTTGCTGTTGCCGCACCGCTTGTTGTTGAGCCATGGCGAGTGTCGCGGCAAACTCGGGATTCTGCATCAACGGTTGAAGAATCACCGGATTTTGGAGGTTGTGAAGAAGTGCAACTTGTTCGGCGTGCTCCTGTGGCGACACATCGGTGGACATATTGCCTCGACCGGCGGCGATTTGTTGTTTTTGGAGTGCGATGAGAATTTGCTGAAAGAAAAAGAGAAGATTTAAATTTGAACCAGAAAATGAGATGGTGGGAATGGAGTGGGAGAAGGGATATTGGAGCTGTGCGTGGCGTAACGGGAATAAGATAAATGAGCGGAAAATTTATAGGTTGTTTGCGTGTGAGCAGTAAAGATGCAGATGGCCCGTGGGCACGCGCAAAAAAAAAACAATCGGGAAAAAATGACGTGAGAGGGGACACATCGTATTGGCCGCTGGGAAAAGGGTTCCATGGATAGATACTCTCTATTACAGAAGATGGATAATCTAGGACTACATAATCAATTTAATTCAACTAGCAGACAATAATTGCCTCCTGCTCCCCTTTCTTTTTGTTTCCATCCTTTTTTCATCCTAATGAATACAAAATTATAATGGAAAAATTCAACTGGCATTGTTAGAGAGAGGGATCATCCCCTTTTCCCACAAAACGGAAACGGAAAAAGAACCGAAAACACAAATGCACAGAAAATAGACGTGTTGCTATTTCCCCCCCCCTTTCCTTTTTTCTCATCCTGGAGAAAAAATATTAATCAACTGCAGTTTCGCAAAAGAGCATAGGAAATTTGAAAATTTTTCCAATTTCCTGTGAGAGTGGCGAGCAGAAATTCAATTAACAAAATTGGAAATCCGAAAAAGTGTATGGGGAGTCTGAATTTTTTAAGTGGCACTATATAAAATTTGCAGCTGGTTTGTTGATAAAAATAAATAAACAAAAATGCAGGTGATTTTTTTTCACTTGAAACTTACCATCTGCAATGGATCCATGTCAATCAGGTGTTTGGATCTGACCAAAAGTGATTTGTCAAGAAGTTTGCGGTCGAAGTTCGCAGTGGATCTAACGAGTTTCTCAGTCGGGTGTTTAGCAGCATAATCGTTACGGAAATTCCTGACAAATGCTTCCTGAAAACGTTTTAATTAGAGATATAGACGTAAACTATTCTCAAAAATTGTGAAATATCTCGGTGGCCGAGGTTTTTCTAACGTTAGGCCACTCGCTGGTGGCGTTTGTGTCGATTTACTGGGCCTTGCCCAAAATGAACTGAAAACAGTGGATTCAGAAGGATTTTCTGAAGGGAATATAGATTTTTCAGTAAAAATATAATATTTGAAACATTTTTTCATTGGAAATTCAAAGTGATTTGCAAAAATCGTCCGAAAGTCTGAATTATTACGTTTTTGTCGCACTATCTCGTAGAAAAAATTCAGCGTCGGCTCTCAAATTTTTATTTTCCGGTTGTTTAATTTGACAACATCTCATCTATCACATGAAAAACTTACCAATCTTGCATCTTCAGAGTTTGCAGGTAGCTGTTTGCCAGTTTTGTAGAGCATCTCATAATCTTTCTCAAAATCACGACACATAAACTTCATTGCTTGAGGCACATCGTTTGGAGTCGGTTGAGGAGTGATAATCTTCGTATACTCCATACAGACGTGTTCCGTAATCGTAGGTTTCAGCACGTGAGCGTCAATGTCAGATACAACAGAATAGAATTTGAAGTCAAAGTCCTCGTCATACTCACTGTTTTCTTCGTCTGAAATTTTTAAAAATTATGTTTTTCGCTTTCGTTGTGATTGGTTGATGCTTACCTGTAACATCTGATTCCGAGTCGGAGAGTGTTAAAAAGGCTTTGATTATGCCGGAAGATTCATCAAGTTCCAGCGGTGGATTGACGTCAGCAACTGGTTTCTCCTTTGGTGCGTTATCCACTTCCATGACTTCAGGTTGCTTCTCCTGCTTTTCATCTAGCGTGATCTCTTCGATGGTGTCCGTATTTTGAGCAAGTCTTTCTGGAGTTTTCGGTTTTTTGAATACTCCATCATTTTGTGCTGGTGGTAGCGGTTCTTTGAAGGTTGGTGATTTTGGCGGTGATGACACTTTTGCTTTTAGCTTTATAGAATCTTCAATGATCTTCTGTTCTATCTCCATACGTTCAAGGATCTTGTCTCTTGCGTCCGCTTGTGCTGAGCTGCACGGCTGATCGTCGTCAAACAAGAAAGTATCGTTTCTATCTTCCGAGAACAATTCTCTGGTTTCCATAAGTTCTTGATCAGAGGCGGCTATAACTTCCAGTTCTTTTGGAGAGCTTGTCGTGGGAGCAACTGTTGGAGACACGTTCGTTTGTGCACTAGGTGGAGTTGATGTTTGCCTCAGAGAAGTTGAAGGGCTCGCAGTTTCTGCTCTTGGTGAACCTTCCTCAGGTAGTTGCAGCTCTTCCATCTGCTCTCCTTCTTCCACCTCATCGTCCTCATCTTCCTCCTCCTCGGATTCGCTCGACTCGATTCTAATATCTAACTTTGCAGCTACAGTTTCCACAGAGTTCAGAAGTGCCAATCGGCGACGATGGATCTTATTTTCCTCGAAGTTCGTTTGTTCTTGTGTTATCCGAGCGATTTCGTCTTTATCCAATTTTTTGACATGTTGTCTCCGAACTCTGTTGCGTTTCGTTTTATGTGGAATCTCAGATGAACTATCTGCAAAAAATGTTTTGAAACTAACAAAATTTGAAAAAAAATCATACCATAGAAAACCTTATGCTTGATGCAAACTTTAGTGCTGGCCATCAGATGGTGCAACTCGTCTCGCGTGAAGTGATCCAGACCTATCATCTGCATATCCGTCCAAATTTCTTGCAGATCATCTTTACTCCAATCTCCTTCATCGACAAACTTTTTCAGTCTCAATTTCGTTCTGGCAATTCCTTTTTTCTCACCGACGATCAGTATGTCTGATTCTGGTTCTTTTTCCAGGTCGATCACTTCAACTTCCTTCTCGATTGGAGTTTTCTTGTTTGAATCGGTTGTAGACTGTCCAGAAGTTGAAGCAGCCTCTGCGTTTAAAAACGTGGTGGAGTTTTTAGTTGGAAGGTCAGCTTCGGTGCTGGTTGATGGATCTTGAGATGCAGCGTGCAAAGATTTTTCTGCAGTTTCAATCTCCATAGTTTCGTCTTTCTCCTTCATTGGAGTCTCTGAATCCCCAGCTGGATTTTCAGATACCAGTGATGATGAACTTCCAACACTTTCCAGGGTTGAATTCTCGTTTTCTGAAGTTTTTTCAGCCACAGTCTTGAGATCGACGTTTTCCGGTGAAACTGGTTTTGTCTGCTCCTTCACAACTTCACAACTCTCCCCCTCACCCTTAACTTTCTTTTCCTCTGTCATCTCTTCCTCGTCTGTCTCATCTTCGTCGCTCACATCACTATTATTTGAAGATGTTGATTCGCTGCCAGAAGGGACAATAATGACGTCGTCGTCGATTGGGACTTTCCAATCTTTTGGTGGTATTTCAAGCGCCTTATCTTCTTTGACAACTGAAAAAATTCAAATTTAAATTCAAGTGATTATAAATTTTGTTTACCTAGTTTTGGATAAACTACAAACACATCCGTTGGATTTTTAGTGGATTCCAATCCCTCGAAATCTGGATCCTGTTGGAGTGTAGGACGTCCAAGTGAATCATCGTTAGAGCGGAATAAGAATCCCTCGAACATTTGATCATCTTTGGCGAGTGGTTCGAACTCCTCGATATTCTTGCTGTCGAAATACTCTTCTACTTCCTCGTCAACCTCTGCGTTCTCGTCAATCTCAAAATCGTCGTCAGAATCATCCTCATCTATCACTACAGGTTCACTTTGCGCCGCTGACTTGTCCTGCACAGTTTTGTCTCGTTTTTTCAAGGATTCTCTAATTTTTCTCTCAATTTCTTTTGCCAATGCATGACGCCTGCATGATTTTTCCTCCTCTGAGTCTTCATTTTCAGATGGTTCGGAATTGGAATCGTCGGTTACAATTCTTTCCACACCGTCTTCTTCGTACTTGCGATTCACTTGAGCATCCATATCAATCATAAAGTCGAAATTAAACAATTTATCCTTTTCTGGATGTCCGTCCCTTCTAGGATCACGGTTGAACTCTGAAAATTTATTTTATTTTTTGTGATCAGTTATTAGGCTACTCACCATCCTCAAAAACAAAGTCATAAGCACCAGCACGTCTCTCCTCTTCCTCTCCTGACGACGTCAAAGAGTCTTCACTCGGAGTCGGAATATCTCCGTCAATGATTTCTGGTGTACCTTGTCTTGATGAAAGATTGGAGCTTGGTTTCTCTGTCTTGTCCTTGACAGCCGGAACTTCTTCATCACTCTCACCCTCCGACTTTTCCAATCCACAATCAATCATTGAAGCTTTTTTCTTGAACTTTCTCACTTTGGACACTTCTGATACTTTGTCCACTGCTGTTTTTGATACTTCTGGTGCTACTAGCTTCGCTGATTTTTCAGTTTGTTCAATTTCAATTACATCATCCTCAGAACCATCACTTTCTCGTTCGGTATCTTCTGAAGAAACCACTGAAGAGTCCGGCTCTGATTCCACGTCTGATTCCTCCTCTCGTTCTTGTTCGGATTCTTCAGGGTCGCTACATACACCTTCGAACTCGTCGACGACAATTTTGCGAGGATCTATCGGTTTTCTCACGACACCATCAACAACGACTTCTTCATCATTGATGTCCGTCATCACTTCTTCTGGCAAATTTTTTGACTTGACTGGTTTTGGGACTTCTCCTGTCTCATCATCGTCGAACCATTCAATAGTCCGTTTTTTAGTGTCCAATTCCTTGAGTTTCGGTTCCTTGGCGCCTGTTGTTATACCATAACGCTTGTTCCAATCTCGTTCTCCTTCGATGTATCCATATCGGCCGAAATAGATGTCTTTCTCGTGATCTCGATTCTCAGCCATCATTCGATGAACTATTGTTCGACTTTCAATGACTTGATCGATGAGTTGATCGAACCTCGGGTCTTGCTGAAGCTCTCTTTTGGATCCCAGGTTTTGACGACATGTTGGACAAGTGTTTCCAGACCTCATGATGGAAACGAGAATACACTGGTCGCAGAAACGATGTCCACATTTCTGGAAAAATAACGTAAAACAGTTTCCCGTGGTCGTTGACAAACGGCTGGCAACACCGCAATGTTGATATTTGTTCTACATTGCGGTTGTTCCGCGTTTGCCCGGACTGGCCTCAATACTTTTCATCAGTAACTAAATTCAAAACATACCTTGTTAACTATTGAATGCTGAATCACTTCTTGACAAACGTCACAAGAAAAACAGCCGATAACTTTTTGAAAGTTCGTTTCTGCGGTATGTTTACCGGGAAGGACGTTGTACGTGTTGCGAATCTGAAATAAACATTAGGTTCTATTTGCGTCATTACTTTCATCGAAAACTCACAGCATCATAAACATTGAGTGAAAGCTCTCCAGATTCCATTCTTGCCGGATTCATGAGTATTTCCTCCAAATCATAATACTCTGCACTTGTTGTGGGCAACTTGATATCCGCCTTTCCTCCTCCAGAGGCCATCATTTTCTGAGCACGCACATACAAACTCTCGGTGTCTTCCTTGTCTTTCTTGAAGTCTAGAAGATTGACACGATGTCCAATGTGTTTGATGTGTGGACGAACAGGAACCATCATTGGTTTCGGTCGGGATGGCGGAGATTCTTCTGCTGACTGTTCCTCATCTTCTATGCTAGGAGTTGAATCTCTCGAAGAGTCCGAAGTTTCACCTTCTGGGTTCTGAAAATTGAATAGTTTGAATCGAAAAAAAAACGTGTGAGAAAAAAATTACCTCTTCCGCCGGTACTGCACTCGAACTGGAGCCGGGCTCATCATCCATTTTGATCCAAGCTTTTGAAACTTTTCTGTAATAAGAACATGTAAATATAAGACATTTTACAATAAAAAGAGATAAAATAACGGGATCCTATCATTAGTGCAACAACGAACGCCAGAAGACAAATAAAAACATAGCGAAGAGAAAAATTTGGCATTTAAAACCAACTCAAAAACACATTAGTCCATTAAAACCTTTTTGAAATGTTTTGAACTGCAAAAAAGGTGCGCAACGAGAGCAGAATGCATTCGACGGGTATGTTTTGAATGGCAGTGTATTAAACGCAAGAAAAAAGTAACCAGTGAGACGACGAGGCGCAACGAGACGAAGAGAGAGTATGGGGCAACCAGAGACGCAGTGCAAACGACTCACACAAAGAAAATCGAGAGGTCGGAGCGCGCGGGGAGTGAGGAGATAGAGATGACACACACAACCAATCGCACGGAGGCACATTAAGATGCTGTGTGGTTCGACCTTCGTTCTGTTGGGAAGTCTGGCTGTTATCTTGGGAGGACGTCACAATGAAGAGAACAGACGGTTACGATACCATCTGCGTGTAGTCAAGTACAGGAGGAATGACATATTTTATGACGTGGCAAAATGTCTTGTGAAGAGGTGCGAGTAGAGGACACTTAGGGTAATGAGAAAAAAAGGACACATAGTTTTCAAAAGAGCAGCAAAAAAGCATGCAATTTTTTTCCTACTTTTTTTGTGAAACGGAAATTTCAAATAAATTAAATTCTTCAAAATAAAAAGATACATTCTTGAAAAAGTCTAAAAACCTAACGAAATGCATTTTCTAACTGATTTTTTGTAGCAAACCTTTCAGACGATTTTAGAAAAAGCTGATTCTATCGATTTTAAAATTTTCCGTCGTTTGTGTAAATTCCCATAAAAGGACATTTTTATTCTTTGTGTGCTTGGTGCCTGGCGCTGAGCGTTTGGCGCCCCATGGTGCGTGGTGGAGAACAACGTCATGTTAGTCATGTAAGTGAACGAACAACGTGCAAACATTGGTGAACGAACGCCAATACAAAGGGCAAAAGTTTATAAGGCTTCATATCTCACGGTTATCAGAAACTCACTATATCTAAGCTTAAATAAAACCTATCAAAATATGGTCAACCAATATAGTACAAACAGTTCACCAGGTGGCAAATTCTCGCTATCTTAAGAAAGAACCAAGATAATTGAGCTCATTTGCAAATTTATGATGGTCTTCTATTCGAGTTTTTGCGGTAGTTGCCAACGAAGAAATCAATCAGAAAAAAAAGTCACAAACAATTTTATGAGCAGACTAGTGACTGGTTTTGTTTGAGATGATGGACAACAATCGTTTTGCGGAAAATCCTGAAATCATCGGAATTCAGCTCTCAATTAAATAAGCAAAAGAGCCGTTTCACAGAACGAATTGCTTCCAACACTTCTTATTTTTTAGGAGCGCGTTTCTAACATAGTTTACTCGATACCATCAAATACGATAACAACCTTTGACGGAAATGAAACCCAGTAGTTTGAGCAGTTGGAAGGAAGTGTGTACGAGAAATATATTCAGCGTAGATGATGATTTTCGACAAGTCCTTTTCTTCATCTGTTTCATGAACAGTTTCTGAGCTTCTGAAAATAACAGCTTTTCCTGAACTTTTAAGATGACATAAAAACTTTTTACCGGTGTCAAGAGAAAGACATCTGAGATGGATGAAGAAACGGATGACTTCAACTGAAATTGTATGATTCAAGCTGCTGCATGCTGAATCATATTCACTTAGAAAGAAGATAATAGTTTGGAAAAATATTCCTACAATAAGTTTGGTGTAATAATCATCATCTCCGAGAAAGCTGAGACAAATGTCAGTATGTGGATCGCATTTAATGGAAGGCATGACGAGTGGGACAAGAAAGAGTGGGACCACAAAGAGAAAGCCAAACTTGTATAAGCCTTGATGGAACTGAAATTGCAAAAAAAATTTATTAAAAAATTTAGCGGTGCTACATATACCAAAAACAGGATCTGACAAATAAAAATTCAGTGTTCCATCATGATTCAACGTGTAGCTATAATGTTGATAACAGCGGAAATTATTGCGTACATCAAAAGTCTACTCATGAGCTCGTGAACAGCTGGAAGAAGCGCAAAGAGCATGGAGTAAAACATCAGTGGTAAATATTCCAAGATGTTGGTGCGATCCCGCATGATTTTGTCTTTTTCAGATACCTGAAAATTCAGTTCAAAATTTTGAATAAATAATAGCAGAATTTGCTCTGCGACGCCCAAGAATAGTAAAGTATCAGGTACCGCTGTTTCCTCCTTAAAACACATTCTCTGAGAGAATTGAGATCGAGTCAACAGGCGATGGCAATGGAAAAAAAAACAAAATGGCCCCAGGAGTCTGATATTGTATGTGGTGAGTATAAGAACTACTCTAAGATTTTTGACCATAATACCCATAGACCACGCCCCCTCCTGGGGGGCGAAAAACTATCGTAACCCCGAAAATTTTTTTTTCAAAATGAAGTACTTTTATGACCATTGGTACTATTATGACCATTAGTACTATTATGACCATTTTTTGTTTTGTGACCATTTTTCTATAGTAACCCGGAAGTAAAGAAAATTTAATTTTTTTGAATTTTTTTTTTAACTTTCTCGAATTTTTTTTCTCTTTTTTGGGAATTTCCAAAAAATTTTCCACTGGTCCAAAAATCAAACCCTAATATTTCCATACTGTAAACCTGCCTACACTTTATAACCACAGTGCCATAAAAAATCCGATGCCCTTAAAAGGGTTTTAGTCGAAAAAATGCGAAAGCAGTACATGGTAACTAGAATTCGCCCAAAATCGACCATCTCCAATTGTGACCAAATTCGTACCAGATGTAGTATTTTTAATGGGTAGTATGCTGACAAATTTTCAAGATTTGTTCTCGTCGTCTTCGTGCATTTCTGTGACCTTTAGTTTTTCACTGAAAATTGACCTGGAAGCATTTTTGCAGCTTTTTTTGGAGCTTCTGAAAATGCACGAAGACGACGAGAACAAATCTTGAAACTTTTCCAGAATACTACCTATTAAAAATACTACATCTGGTACGAATTTGGTCAAAATTGGAGATGGTCGATTTTGGGCGAATTTTAGTTACCATGTACTTCCCCACATGGTGTTTTCGCACTTTTCCGACTAAAACCCTTTTAAGGGCATTGGATTTTTTATGGCACTGGGATAATATAGTGTAGGCAGGTTTACAGTATCGAACTATTAGGGTTTGGTTTTTGGACCAGTGGAAAATTTTCGAGAAATTTCCAAAACAGTGAAAAAAAAATTCGAGAAAGTGAAAAAATTTTAAAAAGTGAAATTTTCTTCACTTCCGGGTTACCATACAAAATCGGTCTCAACACAAAAATGATCATAATAGTACCAGGAACTCAAATCTGAAACGTTCGAGTCGATATCATTATTTTGAAAAAAAAATTTTTTCGGGGTTACGGTATTTTTTCGCCCCTAGGATGGGGCGTGGCCTATGGGTATCATGGTCAAAATTTTAGAGTAGTCCTTATACCCACCACATACAATATCAGACTCCTAGGTCCATTTTGGTTTTTTCCATTGCCATGGTGTTTTCGAATTTCTCAGAGATTGTGTCTTAAAAACCATTTTCTTCGTCAAAATCAGTGCCTACGTTTATAACCAAGCATCTTTTTTTTCAATCCGTCCGTTCACTATCACAGATCTTCGAGGACTGAGCTCGAAACTAGATTCCACTCTTGCTAGATATTCCATTCCACAGAAAATTGCTATTTCTCTGCTCTTCCCTTTTTTCGCAAAGTACTTCTCGGCCCCTCGACACCGACTTCCTTTTTTGCTTTCTTTCAGTTCCCCAATCACCCTCTTTTGAAACGTCACACTTGTTATTTGCTTCGAAAACGAAGTCTTGAGGAAATTTGTATCCACCGATACAACAAAAATCTCGATTGTACCTTTCATTTCAGTATATCATTGTATTCGCTCCACTTGCTCCGTTGTTGGAAGCAACCTCAGTTAAAGATGGAGTTTGAGCTCAATGCTTTTAGTTTCCCAACCATGAAACCCATTCATGCTCTTTTAGCATAAGACAGAGAAAATTTTTCACATGAGATCTGATTCTCTATCGATGGCCTCAGTGAGATGGCCTCAGCGACGTATTACTTGCTCCTCATAATCTTGCTCCCACCTCAATGTTCGTTCACCGGTCAAGTCGTGGTTGCCGGTATATTCTCCGCCATGCATATCCTGGTCACAGAGTCCATCAGGAATCGAGCACTTCGCTCTATGCAGTTGCTTCTTGTTGTACTCCTGCACTTAAGTCTCTCAAAAACTTTTTCATTTTCAGCTTCTCCAAATCATCATCAAGTGTATCTGCCTTGCTTCCTTCCCATTCCAGATTGTATCAATCATCAAACCAGCCGACGAATGTAATCCTAACTACCACTATTGTGTCAGTGAAAACGTTTTCGAGACTCAAATGGCAGCAACTGTTGCCATTCATACCATAATGTTTCTGTTCGGATGTGGTGAGTTTCTTTCGCTCATTGTCAGCGGTCTCCGATTTTTCGTATGGTTCTTATATGTTTTCAGCAGAGATCAAACGGCTTCTCATTCTCCTTAAGTACCATAACAAAACAACAAAGAAAGAAGTTTGCGCCGGCAACCTGGAAAACGCTGTACTCGCGAACGAGCCACTGCGCACACCAAGCCAAGATAAGGATCTGCAAGAAATGAAGATAGTTGCTTGATAAGAAGCCTTTCTTTGTGTCTCACCAACTTGATTTATCTATTCTGTTAAATGAATACTACTGTCCGATCTTTGAAACTTTGAACAAATTTGGACTTTTACAGATATTTTGTTTGATTGAAATAAATTTTTGTTGATTGAGTTGTCTGTGAATATTATGTGAAAACTATAAATTTTTATGCAAAGCAGAGCAAACTCAGCAATGCCACGGCAATGCGATGTAGCAATGCGCATTCAAAAATACTGCATGCCTTTTTCTGAGAGATTTCTACTGAGCTATGGCTCTGCGTGCGTCTTTAATTATGAGCTTGTCAATCGCTTCATCATTAAAGACGCATGGAATCTTTTTTGATTGCCGCGGCCGCAGCAAATCGCTGAGATTCCTTTGCTCTGCATTAAAAAAGCCAGCAAACTGTTGGTCGGCTTCCGTCTGAATGAACGCGTTAGCTCATTTTATTGTCAGAAACTCCCCGGCTTATATAAACCTTCCATCCATTCTTGGAAATGAATAATCGCTACTAATAAGACGCAGAGGTGCGATGACCTTTGAAGGTGCGTTACCAAGGAGACTGCCCGTTGGCTCCGTATCTCTACTTGGATTTCTTCAAGTTTCAATTCGAAAAAATAATGTTTTTTTTTTCATTCTCAAAAATTTTACTCATTTTTTGAAACGGACAGGTGCACACACAGACGGACCAAGATAGTTTTCAAAATGATGTGCAGATGACTAATTTTAAACTTTTCCCAAGACTGTGAGTAAAGCTATGTAGAAAACTCGCTCCACCGCGCTCCACCGCGCGCGTACCACCTTTTTCTTTCATAAAATGTTCCTTTAATACACATGTGTTCCCATCTGATTTTTCAAATGTTCCTCTTCAAATGATTTTCTTTTCATCGCGCGGATTTCCAAACTATGGTTAAGTTTCCAACTACCAAATTCACCATGATTTTAATATGAAATTTTCTTTTTTGACCTCTGTTCAATCCAAATGTTCTTCCTATTGAGCAAGAGAGTGTTATGATGATCTGGACGCAGACAGTGTAGCACAGAGAATTAGTGGAGTGAAGAAACTTCACTTTCATTGAAGCTGTGTATTTGCCTTGAAATAAACTTTGTTTATGACTGATTAGATCTCACTTTACTTTTTCAATTGTCATTTGTCTTTATCTCTCTAATTCATTCTCTCTAATTCATTTTTTCAGAATGGCTTCGAGACTGACCACCAATCGTAATGCTGGTGGAACGAAGAAAAAAGTGGTAAGTATCATATTATCAACAAAATCTTCAAGACTTAAGTCAATTCAGGCCCTTCAAAAGAGAAAGAGAATTCTGTTGGAGGTCTTCAAAAAGAATTCTTTTCCCTCGAAGGCAATAATCGGAAAAGTGTCCGAGAGAACAGGACAAACGACCATCCAGGTGCGATTTTGAATTTGCTATTCTGACCTTTTTCATGTTTTTACAGGTTCGAAAATGGTTCGTTGCACAAAGAGCCAAAGTCTACAGAACCACTGCGGACTCATCGCAGCTTCCACAACAAATGAGAATTCTTGATGAGATCTACAAACAGAAGCAATACATTGACCTGACCGAAATGACGGAGATAATGGAAAGAACCGGTGCCTCAAGACAGTCGGTAGGCAAGAAACTCTAGTAAGCTCGAAATTTATTGATTTTTTTGAGATTCTCCAAAACATTCGGGGTCGTCGCATGGTGGATCGAAAAGAAGGGAAACAAGTCGTCGATGAGAGCCGCGTTCCAAAGTTCCCGTCATGGGAGAAGAAAATGAGGAAAGTGACAGATGAGCAAAAAGAAATTCTGGAAAAGTTTTTCGAAACTAACCAGTTCCCGTCGAAAGATGAGATCTCTGGAATTTTTGTGAATGGAGAGCTTTCCGATAAGGAGGTAATTGTATTAAGTTCATTAATTTTTAACCTAAAATGTGATTTCTTTTTCAGGTGAAAAACTGGTTCAGCGGCGAAAGACAACGCGCTCGTAAGTTGAATAAGAGCAGACTGGCGACATTGCCTTCTCAAATGCAACTTCTAAACGACGCGTACAAAACGAATAACTCCCCGGACATTGCAGAACTAAGCGAGAAGACTGGAGTCTGTCTACAGTCGGTTTGTAAATCAATGAAGCCTTTTTCAACTATCCCTAACTTTTCAGCTCACAGCTCATTTTGCCCGCCGTCGTCGTGCAGATAAGAGGAGAGTCCGCTTTGATTTGAAAAGCATTCAAATCAAAGTTGTATCAAGATACATAAAAAATTAGAGGTTGAACAATGCCTTTCATTTCTGTGCCTTCTGGCTATGATTCCCTTCCTCCCGTTTGTTGATTTCCCTCCTCATTCCTTTCTCCTCATCAATGTTCCATTTTCTACGGATTATTGCCGACCATGTCCCTTCTTCGTCTCTCTGTGTTTGATTTTTCAATTATTCGAAAAGCACGTCCATATTAAATTGTGAATCCCGAGTTTTCCGTCTCAATAAATCGTTGTTGATCTAATTGCCCTCGACTCATCATGAAAAAAATCCACGAATTACTCTCTACCATTTCAGAATATTCTGTTACCAAGATATCTGAGTTACAATATCAAAACTAACCGTACGTTTCTGAAGATTTCCATCAGCTACACCAACTTTCTTCTGACAAGGGAAGTGTTTTCAAAAAGGCTTTGAGAATTTCTTAAAAATTGGTACACATATACTTTTAAACATGGTGAATAATGAGACGACATTTTTTCCTCACCGGATGTACCTAGAAGCTGAAAAAACGCGTCCTAAATTTCACCTATGTTTAAGCGTTATAAGCGTGAGCGCGGTCTCCCCCTTTCTTATATAAATTGTGGAAGCAGTGAGGAACAGCGAAGTGTGGTGTAGTGGTGAAGAGGGATGTTGGTAACTGACTAGGGTTAGGGTCGATCCCACTCTCCCCGATTTGTTTTTTTGTTTTTTTGTCTGATCTCTCTGAAAATGCCAAACTGCGTCAAAATCTTTTTAAAAAAATTTCATTCAGATTTTGATTCATTTTGAAAAAAATACATTCATTTTTGGATTGTTTCGAAAAATCAAATCTCAAATGTTTTTGAAACACTGCTGGATAGTCTTCTCTAGTCAAAAAGTTAGCCAAAACAACACGGATTTGTTCATTTTGGGTGCGGCACAGTGATAAATCTGTCAGGAATGATGTAAACCTTTGTTATCAAAAGAGTTGCCTGTTACTGGGTGAAACTCGAAGGACTGCGATCCAACGAAAGCTACCAAAAATCACTTATTTGTGATTTCAAGAAGAATGTGAGCCACCAAATTTTGTGAAAAGACTTTTTTTATCGTTTCTTTACGTTCAGAATTCATTTTCACAAATTTAAAATTTTTTCGAAATTCTGAAAAAATTGCCAAGGGGGTACCCCATGGCGACTTTTTTCCAAAAAAAAATTTTTTTTGAAAAATGAGGAAACTTTCTCAGATTGTAGAGAAACTTTCAAAAGTACGATTCACACTCAAGAAATGTCAAAAAACTTTCATTAACCCTTTCAACTCTAAAAGTGAGAAATTAGTACTGAAATCACTTTAAGAGCCTATAACTTTTTGTGAGTGGATACGGGGAAAAAATAACACTAGCACTGTAATCAGCATGTTCAAAAGTACTAGAGACCAAAGTTTCAGAAAATTCTCAAAGCCTTTCTAAAAACACTTCCCTTGTGAGTTAACGAGTTCAAGTTCACCTTTTTGTAAAATTATAAATACAAAAATCATTTTGTTCTAAGATCTGCTTGTTCTGTCTCATCACAAAACTCGTATGTGAAAAATTCGAAAAGTCTGTTTTTGAGCCCCACAATCCAAGTTTTCGCTGCCAACTTTTTTCTGAGTGAACGAATTAACGCATATATTTGTTTTTGTAAAATTTTAAAATGCAAATATCATTTTGTTCTAAGATCTGCAGATTAAAAAAAGACACTCTGACAAATATCCTGTTAAAAAGTACTGAAATTTTCAAATATCAGTAAATTTCTCAACTTTTGTAGCTGGAATGCTTTTCAGTTTTCTCAGTAAGCTTTGTTGCGGCCGTTGTCAAAATTCTAGGGACCGGCGGTTTGAAGGTGGGACCGGTGGTCCCGTTGTGGGCCCGTTCTTCCCGGAAAGAGCTCAAATTTCTACCGCCTTCTTATAATTATTTCTCTTTCCAATTGTCCCCTTTTCCATACTTGTAACGGGCCG